AATCTCCCCTCTTCTTTCAGTTTTATGTGTTTGTTATTATTATTTTTTTTCGGTTAACGAACGATGTTTTCATATAGCTTATAGCTTGTAGCAGGACCAGCTCAATAAATTAAATATCTGCTTAATAAGACATTATATTATAATAATTTAATCAGCTTTCTGTGATTTAAATTAGAGTAAATTTCAAGATTTGGATTATAAATTCAATACATTTTAATTAAAATTATATTCGTTCAAGAGTAATATGTATTATATTGATATATTAAATTATAGTTAATTAGTGAATGTAGGTAACAATTTATATCTTTTGAATATCTATCTAATTTTATAATTAATATACTTTTTTAAACTTTTGTCCATGACTTCTCTCTATAATTTTGTAATCTGATACAGTTGCACTAATAGTATTCATTTTCTGTAAAAATGGTGCATATATATTTTTTTATGAATAAAAAATTAAAATAATTATAATGATAATATTTATTTCTAGTTTCTGTTAGTATTGGGACAGAATTATTTTCGTTAAAACTATGATTTTGTGTATATAATATTTAAAAATTTCACAAAAAGCTCTTTAGAATAATACAGTGAAATCTGTTTTATAAAATATTTATAGTATTGAATTAAAAAAAAATAATCCCCTTAAGTGTAGAAAAACTCGTAAAAATCATATTTGTGTAAATGATTTCATTTTCAAACAATTCTACATGCTTAATTTGTTTTAACTTTTAAATTAACATGCATAATTGAACAATTTAAGTTACGTCAACTTAATATACTGTGAACAATTTTTTGACTTGTGAAGGTATGTACCTACCTTCCAGGGCATTGCCCATTTGCGCCAAAATAAAATAGGTATGTTTTTCCAACAGCCCATTTGCGCCAAATTTACCTGTTTTAAATATAATACAATAATATATTTTTTTCTAAAATAATAATCGATATAATTTTATTTTATTTATTGTTAATTGTACAAAACCAATAATAAACATTTTTTGTAAATAAATAATAAATAATTTGTAAAACATTTTTTTTTTTTTTTTTGAAAATTATGAGTTATCGGTAATCATAGTCAATTGTACGAATAGTTTTCAATAATATTCAATAATACATATTTTAATCTTCGTTTTTGGAAGTAATGAAATATATATATATATATATATATATATATATACATATATACTATTTAATGCTGAACATCAGACTAGGTTTAGAATTTGAAGAATGAGTTTTTTTTACGAGCACGGTAAATACTTTTTTGTACAGCAGATACATCAGATATAGTAAAATTTGAATTAATTATATAGTTATTCATTCAGTAAAATTAATTTTTTTGAGAAGAATACTTATGTCTTTGAAAGTCACACGCTTACATGCTGCAGTAATACTTAAAACCTATAGACCTTTAAAAATAATTGTTTAATACATTACAGACTTTACATTTTTTAAATATACAAATTAACTAATTCGTTAATGTAAAATGTTTTCGCACGTAAATTTGCGCAAATGGGCTGTTGAAAAAAAAATATCTTTTTTATTTATGCACAAATCAGCTGTACCAAAAATGAATTAATTCTTTTTTTTTTGTGCAAATGGGTAAACCCCCCCCCCCCCACCCTTTCATTCGATTATGATATGCTATAACAATATTGTATGCGTATAATATGTACACACACACATAATAAAATATTTATACATATGATAACTGTAGTGGTACGTTCGAAATTGTTATAATTCGATTTCTAGAGATTTTAAATAACACAAATAATATGACTTTATATTAAAATATAAATATAATGTATATTATAACAGCGTACGGTAAAAAAAGGTATTGTGTAGATCATTATATACACCAATATGTACATGTAAATTTACTGAGCATTTTCGCTTATGCTACCCCGTTTATAATTTATATAAATTATTTATTCAAATTCTAGTTTTTAAAAATTTTAGTTTACTCAAAGATCATATTTTTAAATTCTTATGATGTTATGCTCTTTAATAATACGACTTTGACGAATAAAGCACTTTTTAGATTCTGAATGGAGCAAATGTATTGATTTTACAACAATGTGTATATTTATTGTGTCTGTTATCTTCTTTTAAAATAATAAAAATGGTTCAATCTTAAACTTCTTTTTGGTTTTTAGAAACAAATTGTATTTAGTTGGTAATCTCTTAAATATTCAAGAAAAGTTTAGGAAAAAACTATACAGAAAAGTGGGAATAAGTATTTACGAGACAACACTGATATTTAACTATTTAACAAAATAAATTTTGTTATTTTTTTATTATTAAATAAAATAACTATATTAGTTTTTTTTTTTTTTTAACAGTGTAGTTATCAAAATATTTTGTCTCTTTTTAAGTTATTTATAGATATTTGAATTAATCGAATTTTTATTTATTTTTTCTGTCAATCAATGTTGATAAAAATGTTAAGCTCGGTCAATAAACTTGAATATTTAATACATTTTTAATAAGTTCTATACAATAAATAATGACAATAATTATCGATTTAAAGAACATCGAAATCACATAATATACACAATTTATTTATAAACATTTAAGTTAAAAACTTTTAAAAAGTTGGATATGTTAACGAAAAATAATGATTTTATAGTTATTTTGTTGTAATTGAAAAAAAATAAATATTATTTTTAGTGACTTGAAACTTTTTGCTTTATTTATATTTCTTCTACACAATTATATTATATTATACACTATAATATTTTCGTAAAATTTAAACCAATTTTAATGATGATACGAACCTATTCATAGCATTCAACTGTTTTTTGATATCGTATATCATATGTTGAAATCAATTAAATAGTTATGAAATAAATAAATAACAATAAAAATAATATCTTGTTATACTGATATTTTAATAATATATTTATATATTTTTTCCATAATCGCTGTTAAATACAAATGTAAAACAATGACGATTATAATATATATAGTATATCGGTCCTAACTTGGTCAAGATAATGTTATTGTTTTTGCAAAAACGAATGTAAACTTTGAATTACTAAAAAATAAATAACATATAATATGAAATATCTCAAGAGAAATATACTGATAGTCAACAAACATATCTTAGAAACTTATTACTTTAACATGGAGGTTTTATAGAAAGTATCGAGGAGGAGGAAAAAGAAGAATATGAAAAAGTTAGATTTTGAAAATTGGTTCAAAATTGATGAAAATATACTTACTACATCAAATTTTATCGAAGAAGATATTTACATGCTTTATCACAAACAAATGAACCTGGAAAAGTTTAAAATGAAAAGATTGAGTTTGAGTCATAAACAGATACTAAAAAATCTCCAACTCCTTTTGAAATAAAAGAGGCCCTAAGAGTATTATGAAGGCGAGTGCAACAATACTCGTCAAATTTTGAAATACATTAAAAATATGAACATTTTATCAATGATTTTTTAACGGTAAAAAAAAAACAAACATCTATAAAAAAAATAATATTCAAGTTAGTAGTAGTTGATATTTATTTACATTTTATTTATTTTTTTTACAATTTTAAATTTTGTATACCTACATAATATGTACTTTATGTATTGTGTATACTAAATTTGATGAAACTCTACATTTTTTTTTTTGATTTAACGTACGTTTTATTTTTTTTTTCAACTTTAATTTAGTGTTATCAATCAGATTATGTTATCAGTTTTGTTTATATCAAAGTGATCACATCAAGCAATGACCACTGTACTTATACAAAAATATACTTGTATTGGTCTTTACTTGGAGTCGATTTCGAATAAAATTGTTCATTTATTAGTTAAATTTAATAATAAATATGAATTTATTAAAATGTTATACATTTGTAAAATTTAGTCAAGTATAGTAAGTATTAGGTACTTAATACCTAGTACCTAATAGAATAAGATTATATTTATTTTATATTTTATAAAAAATTATTATTAAGGATTATCATCATTAATATAATAATATAATACAAAGATAATTAACCCAGAAATTATAATCATTTCTGATGCATTTCTGATTTAAAAATGTATTTTATAAGTTATTTAAAAAAGTTTGAAAGTAGTTTATATCACCAAAGGATAGTCTTTAATTAAATAAAAATAATCTTATAAGTAGGGCGTTTTCCATTATCACTTAAACACAACTCCCATATAATACTACATATAAACATGGCAATAAAATAAGAAGGTAAAAGTTCATAAACCCGCATATAATCTGTGTACATTTAATTTACTACACATTAAAAAATTAGTATAAAATAATAATAATAGAAATTATTTTGTTCAAATCATCGTAAATCATTTGCATTAAATATTCCAATAATAGTTCGGTAATAATACAAATTCAAATTAAAAAAAATATGTACATATTGTGTGTTTAAATAGTGTTAAATTTATATTTTATGTGAACGAATGAAAATATAACTTTTATAATATTATATTGTCATTTAATATTATGGTTTGTGGATAATATTTTATAAATAACTGATAGTGATATTTAGAATATTTACAATTATAAGTTTATAACATTTGAAAATTCAATAAAATATATTGTATTCTGGTCTGTGCGATAATAGGCTTTCGATAAACAGTAATATAAGAATATCCGTGCGGTTTTGGCTCAGTTTTTGATCATTTTTATGGTAACGAGTAATGCCTTTAAGTATAGTTTTATGTAGGTATTGATTCAAAAATTTAAAACTAGAATTTGAATGAAATTTACGTCTATAAATCATACGGAGGAAAACAGATTGAGCATACTTTGTACGTTGAAAAACATTGTGATTTCCCGATACAATATCTACGTATATTAATATAAATTATATTGAAGAAAAATATGATCCAATAATGCTAATACATACACTAACGTAATTTCTCTGCTGTGAATATATGATGCGCATTTCACCTGTGTCATGGGGAATTTTTCTTGTTTCGAGTGTGACCTAGACCGTCAAATGGTATTTAAGTATATTGACGCATGGTGGGTACAGATCTAGTATTAGTCAGTTCCACTAAACCAGCCAGGCAGTGCACGGACGGTAGACCTCACGGTTTTATTTTACTATTCTATGGAAATATTGTACCTGTATTTGTAGCTTGGATAGATTTTTATAGTAATATTTTCCAAGTTAACAGTTAACAGTATATTATATAGTTCTATACACATTTCAATTATACAATTATAATAACAAATAGTATAACGTCGAGATTAACGTGAAGTTTCCGTACCAAATTATTGAAACATTTGGACGAGAACTATACAGGTAATTTATGTTTTAAATGTCTTTATAAATTTAACGACTATTAAAAAAATAATGTGAACAGTTTTAAATTTAAATTTTTAGAATATTCCGATATTATTTGTTGCATTTTATACTTTTTTAATTCATTATTAAGATTTACTTTTTATGTTTTTAATTTATCTTGTTATTAAATAACATAAAATAATAACTATAACTTATAATTATATAGAAATTATTAGGTAGATACATAAATTAAGAATGATATTTATAGAATACATAACAAAATGTATTTATTTAAACGAAATTCACGCGTTTCTGAATAATTCGCTATTCCCTAGTAAAAAAGAAAATATTTAGTATACCATTTTTAGAAAACTAATTTATATTATCATCTTATACATTTTATACAAATTAATTGATTTCAATAATTATATTCTGTGTTAAATTGAGCTTAATAAGCAAATAAGATGATTTAATTAAATTCAATTTCTACAGTATATTATTTTTAATGTGACATTTTTATTCAAAGATATTTATTTCCAAGTATCTTTTATTTAACTAGGTATACAGTTTAATACAATAATAATATGCGTAATTATTTATTTTAAATCAGTAATTACTCAGTCTATTAAATAAAACTTAAATATTTAAATTTATTTTTAGTATACAAACTTCCTCAAATTTGACAAATAAAGATTTATTGAGCCTAGCATTTACTTTTGTTCAATCTGTCGTAAGAAATATATATATATATATATCCATTTATTTCAATAGCTTAATTTTCTTTTAAAATTACGTATATATTATTTAATTTAATTTCCTAGTTAATTATAGCTAAAATAATAGTATTAAGTGTTCGACTCATCTTAAATTCACTAAAAGAACTCTTTAAGTTATTTTTAAAATTACAATTTTAAAAATATCAAACCATGTTTATCCAACATCAAATGCTAAATCATTAGAATACACCCAATACAAATTGTATTAGAATTTTAAATTATAATACTGTACGTTCATTACTCTCTTACTTTAAACAAATTATATATTTGTTTATGGCTAAAGGTCTTAACTCTTGACATACGATATTATACATTCATTGTGTTAATGAAAGACCGATTTGAAATTTATACTACACATTTATACGTCTGGTTAATGTAAATACAAACAGAAAGACTTCAGTATTTGACTACCATATATTATATAATCATATAATAACCTTTAATTATTGTAAGTACAAATTTACGAATATCGGTTTTTATTCAAATATGACGTATATATATCGTATTATATCGTTTCTAATAAAGGGTGTTATATAATCGTATAGTATAATTATAATAATATATATAATTTAACTTTTTTTTTTTTTATTGATCTTTTAACAACTACTCTGCATAAAAAGCTATTAGTTACATTTAATTAATTACTAGTTGAAATTATTTAAAGTATTTATAAAACTTTATATTAGAACTATTATTAGATTATATTTTGTTGATTATATTGGTTTATTTTAGGAGATACAAAATGTTCTTGTCTTAGTTAGGTATCCAAGCGTAAAATCAAGGTTTTCTATCATAGTTTAATTAGTCAATATTTTTCTTATCATTAACATTCTGCTATAATTGTTTTACTGCGAGCGTAATACCACTGCTTCGAATTTAGGAAGTTCTTTTTTACAACGAGAAATTCATGAATAAGTCTTGTTTATACAATTCTTAATCAATTTATAATTGTTTCAACATTTTGTGTTTGGTTTTTTCAATGTCAATTTTTTTATTTGATTCAGTTTAATGTTTTGATTATTTTAGAACATATACTATTTATATCTGATGTGTATTTTATTTATAGCTTTTAAAGTCTTCGTAAAGAATTTTGATTGTGTACATAATACACCTGTATACGATATACTCATTATATAACAGTCATGTATTTTGTATTTATATGTAAAATTCTAAAAATATTTTAAAAAATCTTATAATTTAGATAGCTACGTATGCATGTATTTTGATAAATATATTTTACAATAGATATACCTACGGGTACAGCTTCTAAAGACTACCACTGTTAATAAATAAAATTTTATTTTGCTATATATTATATTGTATTAAATGATTCGGTCAACGGCCACGCATGTATAAGAGCTGTTTAGCCTGGTCAGGTTTCGATACATACGTTTTATAGTATCTACTTATATTAACGTTTGGTAAACGCTATGGTCTGCGAGTATTATCGTGGCAGACGGAATATATTTATTATTGTAGTTGACCTTAAGAAATTCACTTTTGCAGCTACACAATTGGATGAATATGTTAAAAATGTTTAAAAAAAAGTATAACCTGTTATAGGAATATAAATAAACTAAAAATGTATTCTAGATATTTACAGTTATATAGTTATATGTTTTATAATAACATAATGTTTAATATTACGATTGGTTTTTACATGATAGCTATATGATACATCATACAGTCATATCTATATAAATATAAGCTAAAAAAATCAATTTAAGTCACGTGTCTGTCTAGTATGAAACAATTACACATATTATTATAGGAATGATATAAAATAAAAATACATTCCTTTCTAAACTAATTCCTAGTGTCTTGTGTAACGAGTTATATTTTTCTTGTTTCTCAATTTGTTTAGCTGCGGTTGTTGACAACAGCAATAATAATAACTACATTATTAATTATAGTATTTTGAATTTTATTATGAGTTTTTAGTATAAAATGCTCGTATTCTCGTGTTTTTCAATAAGATAAAAATTATATTGTTATGCAAATTTATTTTAGTAATAAAAATATTGAATGATTAAATTAAATTAATTTTAAATTAATTAAATTCAAGATTATTATCTGTAAAAGTCCAACGTTATAACTATGTAAACCTGCTTAATAATACTTTTGTTTTAAATAATTACAAAGATAGTTATATAATCATAACGTAGTTGTATTAATGAGTTATTAATAGTAATATTGCACTAAGTGTATAGCTTTGTTATTGTATTATAATTTTTTTTCCAAAATGTTCTTGATATGAATTTACGTAGATATACTATTATAATACGGTAGGTATCTATTACTAATTAACATACAAGTTCAAGAAGCTAAATATTAACGTAACTACTAATTTCCATATCACCTTATATGTATAATAGTATAGGTATACTCTATACCTTTATTTAATATTTTAGAACGCAATGGTAATTTTTTAAAAATTTTTTTCTACGTGTTTCGACAATTAACTATATAGTATGAAAAGCGTATTTGGTCAATGAAATTCCCTGCCTAGTCCCCCATATTATGCTACATATACAAGGATAAATATCTTCTTTTACTTTATTAGTTATAATAACACAATATATTTGAATAATAACAAAACTAGCTGTATTTTAATTGATTACTCGTATAGTTTTTAATTTTCATATTGTTTTAATATTTCAGGATGCCAGCTGATATTGCCACCATGGATAATTTTGATTTGAACAGCCACGACAAAACTCGTGAGATGTCAGAAATTCAATCTTTTTACGATGGTATGACAGTTTTGTTAACCGGCGCTACTGGATTTTTAGGAAATTTAATACTGGAAAAACTAATCAGGTAATAGCTATTCATTCGAATACTTCTATATATTACACGACATATCATTGTTTAATCGTATTTAAATTGTTAGTTGTTAATCACCTGTATAATGTGTGAATTCACAGCATAATATTTACTAAATATATTCAAATATACAATAATATGTCAACACGACTATATATGTATACAGTGACGTGGCAAGAATATTTGAAATACTAAAGAAAATATTTAAACAATGACCTACCCCACTACCCCTACAATATAATATACGTATAACAAAAAAAAAAAAAAAAAAATTGAAGGTTGCTAACTTTATCTTTATTATTTAGAAATACAACGTATTGATTGATTATTAATTATCCGAAGTATTATGTCAATTACGACAAATCTATTACAAAAGTATTTCCACAATAACTAACGAATTTTATGTAAAGTGATTTTATTCATCTATACTAAATTATTTAAAAATATCATTGATTTTAAGTTTATTAATATTGCTTTCAATTATTTGTACGTTACAATAATCTTACGTGTAATATTGTATACACCGTGTAACACCGTGAACGTTGAAATTTGAAACTTTTTTGTAGAACTTAACTGTACCTATTTGATAGTGTACCTACAGCACGAAGTAGAATTATTATCGTTAAGAATTATTTTTAAATACTATATATAACTAAAACGATGGACGAAAATAATATTATCTGTAAAACTCTACAATTTTGGTTTTATAAATTAAAATTCATACTCATGTTTATTATTTCAAATTTAAATGTAATTCCTATGCTTGTATATACGCTTACTACGACATTAGAATACTTGAGTAGTTGTGTATACCTACGGTTATTTTCTTATGATTTATGATAACAAAACGCGGAAAACAAAGAGTATAAATATAATATACTGTATCCTTCATGCAGAATATTTAAATATTTATAAATTTAATTTATGTATACTTGAGTTGGTTTTATTATTTTATTTTTATACAAATTTGAATTCCAAAATTGGAATTTACCTCTAAATTAGATTTTTTTTTATTACGTGTAAAGTATTATGACTGAAAATACTAAGATCCAATAAAAATATTCTATGAAAGTATATTATTATCTACTGCTATATCAACTGAAAATATCAGATTTTATTTTATTTAGGAAAGAAAATTTATTTCCATAGCATATTAATATTTTGACACACATTCAGTATTATATTTTGTACAAGTACAACGTATACGATCTAATAACTTTTCATTACATCTTATTGTTTTATTTAATTTTAAAACTTCGTAAATTATTAAATTTTAGGTATTTAAATAATATACTTATTTTTTTGAAATTTTTAACAGTAAAATACTTAAGCATTTAATTACATATTTAAAATAATTAATTTTTAAATGTTAGCCAACTAAATAATTAAGAACACTTAATTATTAATCCAATAGTTCTTGATATAATATTGTATATAAATAAATAAAAAAATATTGTAAATTAATAAAAATATGTTTTATTTTTATTTCAGAACTTGTTCAGGAGTTAAAAGAATTTATGTCTTGATCAGAGAGAAAAAAGGAAAAACTACAGAAGAAAGGTTTAAAGAGCTCTTCAATGATCCGGTGTGTAAATATTTTTATTTTTTTCATGTTTAGATAATTTTAAGAAAATAATTTTTGAAATTAAATTATGGATAATAAATGTTTACTAGATTTGAATGTATAATATTGTGGCTAAATTATATATTACATTGAATACTTTAAATTTAAGACATAATTGAATATACCAACTGTACCTATACTATATTTGCTTGTCCATTTGATTAAAGCGAATTAATAAGATGAAATAAATAGTTATTAAATTATTTAAAATTAAAGTTATCTGAGATAAATATTAAAATTTAAATTAAGTTTTCGAGCTTTTCAATTTTCAATTACAATTTTTAAACTTAATATTTAAAAATATTCTGTTCAATTGTTTTTTAAACATCTTATATGTTCATTCATGGATATAGAATAAATAATACATGTAAATGGATTTTGACTGAGTCATATTTGTTGTTTTTTTTAATCAAATATGTGTATCAAAAATTACAAGTGAAAAACAATAATATTTATGAACATAAAGTATAAAATAAAAACATATAAAATGAACAGCAAACACATAATACTCGAATGTCAAAAATATGAAGAAAAAAAGAGTTATTGACCTCTAAAAGAGGCAATTAATACTTTAAATAAAATTTAAATATTTTTAAAAGTTATGCATATAATTTATAAATATGTATCATATAATGTATACATATCTATAAATATATTAATATATATTTATAATTTAATTGAAAAAATATATTTACAATTTCTTTATGCTATTAATATAATTTATAAAAAAAGCAAGTGAAAACGTGTATTATTTAAATATTTTATAAAAAAAATGTATTTATAAATTTATTTTTAACTTCAATGTATTATAATTAGTTGATATTTTTTCATCTAATTGCATGAATATTCAATATATGTTTATTAATTTGTTTATATTGTTAATTTTATATTTTTTAATTGTTTTTAAAATAAATTTAATGATAACGATAAATAAAATAATAAATAGCAATAAATCAATATCACTATAATGTCAATAAAAGCATGGTAATCATGGCTAAGTAGTCAAAAAGTATTAAAAATCAAAATTTAAATAAATACCATCTATACATTTTAAAATTTATTTTTTGTTAATTAAGACTTGAGATGTTTGATTTATAATTTCAGCTGTTTGAATTAATGAAAAAACAAGAACCTAATTATTTAGAAAAGATCACAGCAGTTATTGGGGATTGTTGTTTACCAAATTTAGGAATAGATCTACAAAACACGAACATTTTAAAAAATGAAGTAACAATTAATATAACACTCAAATATAATTATATATATCATTAACTTCTTTTTAATAATAATTTTTTTTTCTTTTTTTAACTAAGGTTAATATTGTTATACACTCAGCTGCCACAGTAAGATTTGATGAACATTTAAGAAAAGCTGTAAATGTCAATATAATTGCTTTACAAGATATTCTAAAAATGAGCCAAGAAATGCCAAACTTAAAGGTAGGTAATGCATTACTATGCACTTTTTATAATATTTTTTTTTCAACTAAAATCACTTAAAAAAATTAGGTAGAGGAATACCGCTCTACAGTATATTAGGTGTCAATTGGATCAATATTTAGGTCTATTACATTTGAATTCAATAATATATCATTTTATACAAAAAATGATTCTGAGTGGAAACAGTCTATCAGCCTATATCATCAAGTGATGATGTTTTTTTTTTTTTTTTGATATAGCTATTTAAGTCAATTACTTTACTTTTAGTACCTACATAATAGGTTGATATAGTTTTTTCCAAAAATATTGCATTTATTTTGCATTATTATGAGTATTTAGTTGTTGAAATTATATATATTTATACCACATTATATAAAATTATATAAATCAAAATGTAATAAAATTCTTCTGTAAATACCATATAACAATAAAAATAAATTCATAGTACTTATAATTAGATAATATTTTAAAATAAATCAAAAATTTTATTACTTATACTAATAGTAATATAAAATACATGCAATTTAAAATTTTCACGATAATGTTTTTAAATTATAACAAAATAGTTAATATATTGTTTTTTATTATTTAAATTTCGTCAAAATTCAAACTTTAAATATATATGAAAAAAATTGTGTCAATGTATTTTTAATACATTTATGCAGTTATGAGAATATATTTTGTGAGGTTTTAAATTAAATTTTTAAGCATTTCTACCCAGTAAATAATTCAAATTAATCGACATGTATTGGTTTAATTTTTAATAATAAAAATACATTTTTTATGCCTATAAATAACTTTAAAAGAGTTAAAAATTTAGAAAATTTTATTGTTTGATGAACATTATAATATTTGGTGAAACTTTCAAGTACCTACAATTTTTTATTTTCAAATTACATTAAAAAAAAATTAATTTTTCTGAAAATTGAATTTGCTTAAAAAATTCCCGTTTTTCCTTAATAATTGTCCCAATTATAAAAATAAATACTGGCAATTTTTAAGTTAGATCTCTTTAAAGTACAAACTAGATCTAATTTGATATTTAAAACCACTTCCAGTTTTGAAAACAAAAAAAATTTATCTACAACTTATCGTGTACTTATATAAAAAATCCAGATCCATTATAAAATCAATACATTCATTGCTCCGTTTAGAATTTAAATAATTTTAATAATAACAACAATTTGTACAACTAGTCACAACTAAATTGATCAGTTTTGTTTTTATTTTCATTTTATTTATAATTTCTATCTCTTAGGCTTTCGTTCACATTTCTACAGCTTACTCAAATTGCGTCGGGAGACAAGTCGTAGATGAGGTGTTCTATAAGCCACCAATATCTGGAGATAATTTGTTACAGCTCGTAAACAGTCTTGACGATGACTACATCACTAGAATTACTCCTTCGTAAGTAGTATATTTACGTATCGGTAAAATCTGTACTCTGTTAATAGATAGAGCAAAAATTCAATAATTAAGTTGAAACATTTATACTAAGCAAAAAGTATAATACGATTACACTTCTGTCGATAATCAGATATAAAAAATAAATAAAATAGATAGAAATAAATAAAATACTTAAACTATAATTTATCGGTTTATAATATATTGTTTAAGAGTAATCGCATTTAATGAATAAAATTCATTGGAGGTAAAAAAAAAAAAATTGATTTAATAAATTAAACCGTGTTAATTGTTTATTTAATTAATATAGAATATTGAAAGAGTGGCCAAACACATATGCAATGACAAAAGCAATAGCCGAAGGCGAAATTTTAACATATGGCAAAGAGTTGCCCATCGGGGTGATAAGGCCGTCGATGAGTGAGTAATAAATTTACTTGATTCTATGTATTATGATACAGTAGTACAACAAGTCTGAAACTCTTTAGCCGTTTGAAATACTCTTATTAAATTGTAATAATTTCTTGTATATTATGTATAATAATTGTTGATCTATCATAATTTATACTAGTAGCTAATTATAATAATAATAATAATAAAAAAATTACTCTTTTTAAGTGATGGAAAATAAATATATCATAAAATGTATTCTATATTAATATTAATTATAGTAACAATAATATTCATGGCAGTAATACTTCCATATTATATGTATTGTCATCATAAAATCTAAGTAGAAAATAAAAATATTTATTTTATGCCCTGTTGATTTCTGTCCTACGCCTAGACATTTCTGGTTGCACTACTGATATATTAATTCATTCCTATGGTCGTTATTATGAATAAATTATAAGGTTTTGTAAATTATATTTGAACTGTAGTTGTCGCAACCAGTGACGAACCTATTCCCGGGTGGATCAACAACATTTATGGACCAACAGGAGTCGTAGCTGCTACCGGCATTGGTCTCATGAGATGTATGCGTACAGATTATACTAAAATAGCTGACATCATACCTGGAGATTTCGTTACCAACGCTATTTTGGCCTCCGCCTGGGAAATTCACAATCAATGGTGAATAACGATTTTACAAACAATTACCTACGAGGGCTATGATATTTTCTAATTGTTTCACGTTTGTGTGGCATTGAAATCGGTGCAAATAGTCATATTATTAAAATGTATTAAGAATTAAAATATTTTTGACATAGCATATGACTGATAGTCCTCAAAGCAAAATGATGTTTATAGTCAGTTAAAAAATGTATTTTCAAAATAGTTACCATGTAGGGCCCTACCTTCGAAATAAAAATTCAAATATTACTGACCAGCATCATATGGTACGAGAATATTTATTTTTTTCAATCATATATGATGTTATTCGTACGACAGTAAAATAAAGTATAAACTAATTATGATTTCGATAGATGTATAGTACTATAAAGAAATAAATAAGTCGGTAGTCGAGTAAATCTCGTAAAGTTATATTGATTTTTGATGTAGCTGTAATATTATTATTATTTTAAGAAAAAACGGTCTACGGGTATTAATGTAATATGCAATTTTCTTTATAACCATCGAGATAATTAAATATTTGCACTGGTTTAATAACTCTTACTGATTTAATAATTAAAAATAAATTATATACTATTACGGTTTTAAATACACCAAATTTATCTGACGTAATCATTTTATAGGTAATAGGTACTACTAATTTACGAGTTCAATAATTAATTTTACTATAGATTCTCGCCTTAAAGGTCTTGATGTATAATTGTAATTATATAAAAAGTACAAGTAAATTAAAACATAAAATACAATATTCTAGGAAAAATTATAAAAACTCCAGTGATTTGAATAAAGAAAAGTTTGTGCCAAAAATTTACAATATCGTTTCTTCGAGCTCTAACCCCTTGACATGGGGAGAATTTTCATTTTATAACAAGAAATATGGATCCAGAATACCCTCTATAAGAGCGGTAAGTGGTCCAAAGACATTTTGATTTAAATAATAATATTATGTTGAATTCAAAAATGGTTTATTTACACGTAGACAGTCTTTATGATCAAATAAAAATAATTTTTTTTCTTTTATACATAGATTTGGCCAATTATGTTGAGACTATCCAAAAACAAATATGAATATTCAATCTTATGTTTTCTTCTTCACATTATACCTGCATACATTGTCGATTCCTTAGCCAAACTCACGGGAAGAAAACCACAGTAAGTACGCGACGACGAAAAATGAAAATAATATATAATACATTTTTTTTTTAAATTAGCTGTTAAAGCTCCAATAACAATGGTTGTTATTGGTAGCTTAAATATATTAGTGTATAAACGAAACAAAAGAAAAAAGATTTTTATAATTTACAATTATTTAAAATTTGAAAAATAGACAAATTACTTGAGTGTTTTCTTCATTCAGTACTATTTAAAGTGAAATTACGTCGGTGAAGATCTTTTGTGCTTAGGCATAATTTGGGCACTTAGTAACTATGTGGTAGATTGACAAGTGCTCCTTGTACATGTCATATATTGGAGCTGGTTCTTTGGTTATAAGGATTGAAGTAGGTTAGACGGGTGTGCTCTATTTTGGATTCGGTAATGGTAACTTCATCTTTTTTTTAAGATTAAAGGGAAATTTCAATTTTCGAATGGAAGATGTAATATTACTTAATTTATTTGTAAGAGCTACTTTGTTTGAATAGTTTTTCTATGTTTCATTGGTTTTATTATATGACTAAATAATACTTTTCGACCAATCGGTTATATTGACGCACGTTTACTCATATTATATGCCTGCGATTTTTATTTTTCAGATTAATAGAAGGATACAAAAAAATACACAAATTTACTGCTGTTATTTCGTACTTTAGTCTACATTCGTGGACGTTCCATGATGATAACACAAAATCGCTGATAAAAAAGCTGTCCAAATTGGACCAGTCCCTATTTAAGTTTGACATATCCAAATTAAGTTGGAATGAATATTTCAAAAAACATGTGATGGGAATTAGATTGTACATTGTAAAAGAACCAATGGACACTTTGCCGGAGGCAATGAAACGAAATACTAAGTCAGTATAACATACATTCCGACTGATTGGTCATAATTTTTTTATTGCAAGTATTTGATTATTATTATTTATTTTTTTCCAATTTCTGTTTTAGGTTGTACATGATTCACTATACGTTAGTATCCATATTGGTGGCATTATTAATATTAATAATATATGGACTGTTCTTACTATTTGTATAGGAAATTAAAATCTCTGTTGTCCTAAATGGCAATTTTACATGTACGAGTATGTAAAAACACATATATTGCATTATTGTTATGATTTTTCTTGTATCTCATTATGATTATACTTTTATTAAAATTTGTATAATTTTATGATCATGTTTATGCTCAAAATTATATAAAATGATTAAACATTTTAATACTTACACTGTATGTACATTCATATTATTGTTAAAAATATTTGTTCATGTATGCATGTAAGTATATTTTATAATATTTTATAGGTATAATGTGTTGGTATTTATAAAAAGTGGAATTAATAATTGTTATTGGCAATTTCAAAATATTGCGTGGATATAATATACCTGATTTTAAAATGTATTTATATCTGAATATAGTTTACAAATTATCGATTTTAAAAGTAATATTTAAAATTTAATTATTAAAAAGACTTTTAGTTATAATGTAAATTATTATAATAAATATATTTGGTGAAAAATTACTTTTTGACTGTTTTAATTTTTTATTTTCAGCAATAGAATTTTTATTTAAATAAATTAAATACAAAATGTAGACAAATAACAGATAAATTACATTTATTTTAATCATGGTAATTTTCTGTTTAAATAAAATGTAAATCTGAGCTTGATATCAATCAGCTTTTATAAAAAAATAATCAGTCATTTATTAAATAATAATATATGAAACTAACAGTATAATATTGAGTTAATTAAATTTATTAAATATGATAGAAATAATATTGGTTTATATTAAGGTTACCCCTTATAATTGGCTTTAAACTGCCTATTTATTTATACTGAATACAATATACTGTACGCCTGTATGAATTATTTATTTATTAGCTTATGCGTCGGTTAAGTGGTGGACTTCATGGTGTTGGTCTAGTACCAGGACTACAGAGGTAGCTTTTGAGAAATATGTTTATGTAGACTGATAAAATAAAAGCTTACCAGTAAAATATTCATTTCACTTTTTGTTTTTAAATTTTATAAGTAGATGCATTTAATATAATCAACTAAAATAATTTTAAGAATCGATTTCCGTTTTTTAAATTAATTACCATATTATAATATACATGTCTTGCACATTTAAGACTAAAATAAATTAAAATTGTTTGAAGATAGTTTTTATTCTTTCTACTAATAAATAATATTATAATATCACTGAAAGTTGTGTTTAGTTGATCTTTATAAATTGGAATAGCTAAATTAATTAATATTTATAAATATTCTGACAAATTATTGTCTTTTGAAAGCAGAATACACAATTTATTTCAGTTGATAGACCACAATTTTTTTCTCGTTTTGTACTTCGTTAATTCATTTAGTCTATTTTAAATATTAAATATTTCATAAAATAAAAACCTATCAATCCAAAACTCTAAGACAAATCACTAAAGTACCATACTACGTTTCCAATCACACACTCCATCACGATCTCTCTATACCCTTTGTTGCAGACGTGGCTAAAACACACTACAAAAGATTCCATAACCGTTTTTTAAATCATAGAAACCCAATCATACACGACATCTCTTCCTTGACTATCCCCGGAAATCCTCCTAAATGGCTAAAGCGAAAATGGTGTAGAAACCTACTGAATAATTAAATTTTATACTCATATCTTTTTTCTTCTGCTAATGTAGTACCTCCACTGGGAGGCCTCTACGCTCTGTTAAATACTTATACATTTCTTGTTATTTTATTTTATTTTTTTCTACTACTTTTTAATACTTCCTAAACTTTTCTTATTGTTTTTTTTGTAACAGATTGAATAAAATATTTAACAAAAAAAAAAAATAAATATATTTCACGTCCCATTAGTGCACGTATTTTTAAAAAAAAGTAACAAATTACCAATAAATGTTCAAAATTTTAATTAATTAAATCAAATTATATTATTTTATTAAAAAGGTTTTACTAAGATACATCATGTTTATCATACATACGTACAATATATAGCTACCATATAGTAATTACAATTTAATAAAATGTGATTAACTACTGCCATAACATAATATTATTACCAAATATTAAGATTATTTAATTTCAACGTAATACTTTGTTTATAAATTTAATTATCATAACACATTTTTTAGGTTCAGAGCTATATAAAATATTATTTTTTTTAATCTGTAACGTATAAAACAATCAAAATCTTATCTGTATACTCAATCTTTTTTTTCATTTAAAATCACGACAATATTTTTAATGGTTGAAACAAATATTACACGATATTATGGTGCTTGATATAGTTGCGAATAAGACACCTTTCTTTTTGTTGATTTTCAAGATATCTATACAATTTTACAAATTGTAACGAATCCATTTCAATGTTCTAAGACAAATAATTATACATTTTATCGATTTTTATTACATTTTTTAGTTAAATATCATTTATAATTATTCATGATTAAATCCAATTTTATGTATACTATATGAAACTTTTTTTTTCAGTTGTAAATGATAAATGTAAAATAACAATAATTTAACATCAGAAAATAAAAATCGTAATGTTTATTATGAAGTGTAATGTATATGCAGTGCCGTTAAGTATTTAAATCCCTGTGTTAAATATTTTTATGACCATCGAATATTTATATCCCAACCTACATAATATGTAAATATATTTGTCAATTTAAACAGTTACCCATATTATATATATATAAAAAAAAAATACATATATTTTGAAAATTACAAAAAAGAACCGATTAAATTAAAAAATCAAAATCAAACTAAACACCTATAATCTTATGAAATTTTTGTAAGTCTCCTATCTTTCTTTTTCTCAACAAAAGTGTATAATTTATCCTAAAGAAATATAATATTTAACCTGTATAACTACGTATTTAGATTAGATAAAACAAATGAGAAAATAAATTAAAAAAAAAAAACAATATAGATTAAGTTAACCATAAATATCTTCAATAAAAATATAAGTTTGTAAAAATCTTTCATTAGCTATTGTTCTTTATTAGAGTCATATAAATACAAAATATTAGGTAGGAAAACATTATACGATGAGTTGTGTTAAATTCAATCGATTTTTTTCTGCAAACATGTTCATTATATACACTTACATTGGAACACTTTATAATATTAAACATCATTTTTGCGTATAACTTAAATTTTTATGGAATTATAAAAATAGGAACGAAAAACGAAATATTTTTCAGGTAGGTATACTCACATGAACAGATATTTTACCAAATTTGCTAATGACAACCGGATATGATGAAAAAACGCAATCGTTAATGTGTCCCGGTTGATGTACGAAAAGTGTCATACACACTGTTCTTTCGCCTGTGCCCCGACACCAGTCGATTATATGATAGCAAACTGCCGATATAACACATTGTCTGTAGGTTTTGACGGTTTCTACTGCTTCCTACATACCACATGTATAATATTAGGACGGAAAATTTGACAAATTTTAACAATTTTGGGATGAAAAAATTTAAGGTTACAAAATTGAAGTGAAGTCTATAATACAATTTATACTAGCATATATTAAATATGCTTTAATTCTGTTAGGAATTGTTACTATAGTAAGACCCACAAATACATTTTGTAATAAATATTTTTATTTTACGTACGATATGTATATCAACTTTGATATGAAAACAATTTAACTAATTTAACTCGTAAATCATTTAGTAATTTATAAAATTAAAATTGAGTAAACTTTTATAATATATTTGTCAGAAAATGAACTATAGTCTTAATTATATATATATATTTTGTTGCAGTATATACGAGGTGTATGGTGCGTACAAACTGTGGTGTGAAAAAATTGTCAATCCAATTCGAAGACAAAAGATCCGTAACGTTCTGCGTTTTCACTGTACATTGCAAATCATATTTTCCCGGTCCAAAATTCGTTTTTTTCTTAGCGTCAGTTATGTCCAAGTAATGTTTTCCCCAAACGTATACGTCTGACAGTTCTTGCATTTCACACTGTTATTTTACACAAAGAAAATATGTATGTAAATACGTAACTTATTATATTTTTAGTATTACACTATGTATAGCACCTAAAATATTTGACTTTGAAATTTTCTTTTAACATGTATATCATGAGTGATAATTTGCCAAAATAACTAAAAGTAAAAATATCGAAATCTCAAAATATATTTCCCTAAAAAGTAATGACAGACAGAAAAAAACACATATTGGGCAGTAAACTTTCCATTTAATAAAATTTTTTGTTAAACAAATTATTTTCAAGAACCACGACCTTCATTATTAATCATGCGTATATCTATTTCTGTATAACGAATCACTTTTTCTATAAAACGAATAAACTATTTTATAACAAACCTGTCTTTGTAAATGTTGTCACTATCTAATACCATTGAGTATATATAGTAAATAACTATATAATATATAGTTTTATTAGAGTATATTATACTCAATGCTAATAATTAACATCTAAAATACCTATAATTGTATTGTATTTGATAAAGATAAGACATTAGTAGGAAAGTCGGTTAATGTAACGCAGTGCTGCATGCTGCAGTTCCAATATTGACGTAAACGTCTTCGTATGCTCAATATTTTTTGTTATTTTGTCTATTATACGTACATGTTAAAATATAAATAAATATCAATTATCGATAAATTTTAAATTTTAAATTAAGCTGATAAAGGTTTTAAAAAAAAAATATAAGTATTACCGAAAAAATCATATTCAGATAAATTTTCTTTCAACTATATCAAAAAATAGTGAAAACCTAATGAAGCAAGAGTAAGAATTTTCACTCATCTGCAATAGAAAACCAATGAAATTTCACTGTAAAATCAAATACATTCATTGCTCCATTCAAAATTTTAAAATATTCCTAATACAAAAATAAATTATTAAAAAATTGTATTGATTTAAAAATGTATAGTGAAACATCTTTAAATTATTTATTATAGTATTAATCAAAAAATATAAGGTTTATTTTTCCAGAAATTTAAAAAAAAAACAACTACACAAGTTTATAGGTAAAAATATCAAAAACGGATTAACAATTTTACTATTATAACATTTAATTTTTAAAATGTAAGCAAATTTTAGTAATTACAGAACAAATAGTAAATATTTTGATACGTTTCTATATTTTAATCATGACTCACGAGTAGTGTTATTCATTTTCATAAAACAAACTGTCTATATTATAATATGAGGGTATACGAGGTATGTAGAAGACCATATGGTCAACAGCCGCTCGGATGATATCGTATCGGCTCCCGCTAGACGTTAATGAGTCCGTATCGGCTCCGGGTCGTTATTCCTTGCCATCCATTAAATGGCCGTATTGCGTCCGGTTTTTTAATTTTTTAATTTTTAATTTTACATTATTTAAAAAAAAATTTAATTCAACACAATTTTTAACCATGCCTACCGAGAATTTCTTCTCACCGTAGCTAGTTCTCAGTCAGTAAATGGGAAAGAAAATGTTGTTGAATGGGAGCCGATACGTCTATACCACTGGCATCGGATCGGAGCCGATACGGCCACCTTCAAATAAAAGGAGGGAGTCGATATAGATACTTCCAGCCGCTCACATAATAACAATTAAAATTTAAATTATGAAAGATTAGCCTTTATTTATTATACGAGTATACCTACTTATATATTATTATATTTTGTCATAGTATATACTGTACTAAACACTTAAATCTATTTAATCATTAAAATAAAAATATTTATCATTCATCTTTGCACAATATGTTGTTGTTTTTGTATAATTATTGGTAAATTTTATAACGACATCGTCAGTACATCCAAACATATAATATAATTATAAAAACACATTTCTCATCGAAAACGAAACCACAGTATTATTGTAGGTAAGTATATGAATATTAATAATGTATTATTGTGATTACTGTATTATATTATTGTGACGTATTCACAATCAACTTACGTCAAGTTTTCGTGCGATGAGCCCCAACGCTTTACTCACGTGATGTCTAGACAAACCGGTAAAGTTGCACTTGTTCAGGCGTGTCGCAACTTCCGCAAAAATCTGTAACCACGTATTTGACCATGGTCCCATAACGACGATCCTGGCATTTGGATTAGCAAGACGATCGAACGATTTGGCCTATATCATATTACTTTTTAATATATTCACAACGGTTTTTAAACGTAGTTATAGAGTATGTAAGTATGTAAACACTTATTAAGTTTGACCTTTTTGAAAACGTGATCTAAGTTTTGGATGTTATCTAGAATTTTACAGTCCGGCGCATTCAAATTAGTCATTAGTAGGAGATAGTCGGCCTTCAAGAATGCTTCGAGATAATCTCCGGTAACAACCAATTCTGCAAACATATTTTTTATGATCGTGATGTTCGTAGTGGTGGTTGTACAGTTATATAGTAACGATGGTTGAATGGGACGACTACGAATTGGTTCCCAATTATCGAGTTGATTCCCGGATTGTCTACAGGTAACATACAAGTTGGTTCCCGGGTTGTCTATAGGTAACATACGAATTGGCTCCCGCAAGCTTTCATGATAATACAATCTTGTTAAATTTTACTAGTGGTGTTCGCGCAAGTTATCTGGTGCAATGAAATAGAAATAGATTTTATGGCCCTAATCGCGACTCCTCTTCCTTGGGGTCAATGGCCCCCTGCAATATGTTATTTTGAGATCAATTGTCCGATATTATTCTCGCGATTTTAACTGGCACCCGTTCAAAAATATTCATTTTTAATGCATATTTTGTATATTTAAGTGCATATCAGGTGATTTTTTAGAGCTACAAGTCCTCTGCCCTACTGATAAGTAATTTTATTCGGGAACCAATTCGAACAGTTGTATACTAGACAGTAATTTTATTCGGAAACCAATTCGAACAGTTGTATACTAGACAGTATTTTTTTCGGGAACCAACTCCACGTTTACCGTTGAATGTATTAATAATATTCACAAAAAAAATACGATTAACAGCGTCGAACTGATAACAGTTATTTATTTATAAAATTATAACCTAATTATATGGTTCTTATACAATATTATAGGTATAGAGTGATAATTCGAATAATTATATGTATACCATATTTATAGAAACTAGTTTATTATTAAGATTATTTAAATTATTTACAATATAAATATTTTCTATTAAAATCGATCATGACTTATTATAGGTAAATGACTAATGCAGATTAATTAATTCTTTTTATATAAAAATATGGTCATGTTTTGAAAAAAACATTTAATAGGCACATACCTACCTATTTCTTTAACTAAATGTAAGTTGTATTACATATGTATGTATATATGTATAACAATTTTAAAGATGATTATGTATTCACCGCGAGACACACAATATTTGAAAATTTCATTTTTTTTCCAAAAAAAAATATATATATATATACTTTTATTATTACTTATCGTTATTATTTTTTACCTTATTAGTAACATCATGCATTTCTAATTTTTTATTCTAAAGCAGAATATTTTTTAATATTAAGGAAATCAAATTTTCAATGAATTTTATAATTAATAAACATTTAAAGATCTTACGAGTATGATAAACGAAAAAGAAATTACCGTATAGAATGTCGATCTATTACTCTTCTTTTCACCGCAATTTTAAATACCTATAATTTATAAGTCAGTAGTCCGAAATTTGATTTTTGAAGATTGAATTACTCTGAATTTTTCACATTCTTCTTAGAAATAAGAAATTCAAAACTATGTTATTATTCAAAAAAGAGAAAAACTTAAAAAATTATAACGATAAAAAAATAAAAGAATTTTCCAAAAATTTTGTTTTATAATAACTTTAAATTATATAAAAAAAATATATTCAAAAACGTTAGTGTTTTCTGAAATTATGAATGTCTTACGTAAAATGGATCACTCCATAAATAAATATAAGTACCATTCAAGTTAGAGAAACAACACTTTTTAATATGTTCAGCCGTTTCATTAACTTTATCCATGTCTAAAGTTAAAATAAAAACGTCCAATTTATTGTCGGCGAACACTTTTCTTTGGAGTATGTTGAACACCAACTCAATGCTAAGCACATTATGGTTCACAGAGATTACGACTTTGGTGACGACAAAATCCATTATACACTACGTTTTATAACACTATAATATTATATTACTATCAAAGCTCAGTTTTATAATTTAAAATCACTTAACATCAAATAATTATATTGTTTAGAAATACCGTAACACGATTTCCACGGCAACAAAATATTCACAATAATACTTGCATGCAATTTAAATTTTATTGTTATTTTTCAAACAATTCTCAGCGAGATGGACTGTCGCCTTTTATTTTATTAAGAATATTTTATGATAGTTTTTACTGCTAAGTATTTATTTTTTTTACTGTTTTTAATTTTTATTAGCCATTAGGGTAGATTAATTTAATTTTTTACGTAAATATTGCATTCATATTATTATTAATATTTAATTATAATAATAAAATAATACAATAACCTTATTATTAAATTTTGAGCCAATACCACCTTGCTGTAAGATAGAATGACTAGATTTTAGGTAGAAAAGTCTAAATAGATAATATTTTAATATAACTAACCTATATATTATGAAAATTTTATGATTGTGTTTTATATTTTTTTAGATTATAGATTTTAGTACGAAATACTTAAAAGAAACATTGTATTTAATTTTCATATTTAAGCTATAAAAATTAAAGATTTTATACCTTTTTTTCTATAAAATGACTAATATTGTCAAACTTAAAACTTAATGAATAATGAATATGTATTTTTAATATTTTTATATTCACATAAGACCATCTTATGATGAATTTCGTAATAAAATTTTAAGTTTTTTATCCGGTGCTAAATTTTTTATCGGCATTTATAAAAAAACAATCTAAAAAATTAAAAATTTAGAATGTCTATAAAAAGTTTCTAAAGATTCAAAATATTTTATTATGTACCTATAGAAAATTATAATATAAATATTTGGTTACATTGGTAATTTAGTTATTTTTTTTTTTTTTAATTTAATTACATCAAAATAACAAAATAAATTTTGTCATATAATCGTTTTTCGTTTTTCCTTATTTTATTTTTAACTTTTTTTCGATTATTTTGTAAAATATACTCAGTTTTTTTACTTTCAACCTCCCCTAATATATAAACTAGATTTAATTTTTTATGAAAAACCACCTAGTTTAAAATCAAAGTATTTTTACTATCCCATAAAATGATACAAAACAGAATAATAACTCATATTAATGTAAAACCAATACATTTATCGTATTGTTTAGTGCTTACATCCTAAATGGCTCAAATATAAATTCTCGCATATTCTTCTGTCTAACTGAAATATTATTTTAGAGTTTTATATTCAGGTTATTGTTTATATTATAATGCTTATAAATATAAAAAAAATATTCTGCTACGAAAAATAAAAGTAAAATTATAAGTAACAAAAAAAGCAAAAAATGTTTGTTCCTACAATTATATATATTTTTATAATCATAATAATTGTATTAAATTTAATATAAATTCAAAAATATTCATAAATATCAGTTAAAAGTTATAACAAATAGATACCTAACTACCTTAACCTCTCATAAAATAGCTAGTCTTTTAATAAAGGGGAAATAATAGAGGAAATCAAGTATTCAAGTAATAAGTAAACTCATTCATAACTTTTATATAATAATTAAAATGAAACTTTAACATATTTGTTTTATATATATATATACAACAACAATACTAAAATTAATCTACAATGTTTGTAATTTTTAAATTAAAAAAAAAAAATTCTATAACATGATTATTAAACTGAAATGTGCACGATAACATTGAATAAATATTATAATATATTAATTTTCTACTATCCAATGTAGATTATAATAAATAACAAGAATCATAATTACACAATCATTAGCTATATAAATATTGGTCTTTTGTAATACTAATATAAAAATACGATTAATGTTTTAGCTGTTATAATATTTTTACTAACGTATCATTAATAAATATGCATCAATACATCATGATATACTTTAATCTATAAATATTTGTAACATTGATTATTTTAACAACTAAGAAATTTATATCAATTACAGATATAACGTATATTTCTATGAAAAATGAAATAGTGAGTATACAGTTTTGTTGTGAAAACTTTAAACATTTCAAGTGATGGAAATTGATTATTATTTTTTTTTTTTTAATAGTCTGATTACCCTGTATTGTACATGTACATAAATAATTATTAAAAATGAATTTTTCAATTTTAAAACTATACATAACACATTTAATATCTATAAAATATATAATAATAATAACTATAACAATACGTAATAATACGGCTATTTATGATCAAATGTCTATTAATTACTTATAATATACTCTTATATAATAGTACTTACATAAAATACTGTGTAACGGTTATATATGATGTTCGTTTGATATTATGAAGAAGACGTGTCACGCGATAACAATAAATTACGGCGGTTATTTTTAATGTTTTAAACACATTTTCATCATAGTGCTCCAAAAAGTTTCTCTTCTATTAAGGAATTAAACTCTATTCATACGTTAAAAAATAATTGAACGCAAATGATATTTTTACTGCATATTTCGCGGAGATAATTTCGACGTGTATATTCTACGTCTGTTTGAAATAGAAAAAAAATTGTATTTTAATTTAAAATAACGACCGTAGAATTTATTTTTTATGACCTGCTTGCGTCGCAAATCTAAAAAGTGCCATAGGTATAGGTTATTGATGTAATCAATACTACGCGTGTATTTCACACGCGGAAAAAACATAAACGCTAAAGAAAAAATAACGGTCTATATGGTTTTAATGGAATAGTGTACGCGAGGCGCCCATCGATTGCAGTAGTGCAACCGAATCAGCTGAAACGCATCAGCTGTTGCAGTACGTATGCAGCGGCGACAGGATCGCGTGCACTCGGTCGATGGTTCGTAAGTCGCGCGAAGCGATAATGCCGTCCGCGTTGCAATGAGCCCGTCCACCGCCGGTGGTCTTGGACCGGTACGTGAGTGGCCCGGCGGATGTGCGACAGGGGCACGCCGCGCCACCCTGGGACGTCAACATTGCGTGCGCCGCGCACGTGTCCCACGAGTACGTCGAGTCCTTGGTCAGCGCGTAGCACTTGACGACACCTAGCGCCACGCACAGCATTTTGTAACCGGCTCCGGACGCCGTGGTTACGATGTAACCGGACCGCTGTAGCGCCTTCTTGGCTTCGTCTGTCTCGCTGTTGCTAGTCACCACCAACTCCTGTCGGACGCGCGATACACGAAAAAAGCATTTTATCATCAAATGGTATTATTGTTATTATATTATTATTATTATTCTGTATTTTATTTTGTTCATAAATACGCGCGATACCTCCCCCCCCCCCACAATAACGAGGTTAAAAAAATATAATAATAAAATGCATTCAAGTTTATGTAATACATCTGGTCTGAAGATTAAAAATGGGGTATTATGTGATTTTAAGCCGCGCGTGCTAAACAATGGATTGACGAGTAAGTGGTTTTTGCAATCAATCGATTTACAAATTGATTGATAGAATTATATAAAAATTAACAGGTGTTAAGGTAAAAAATTGATATCACGGCTTGCCCTTGATAGCATAAGTCGGATAATAATTGTGAAATTGTCAACGTTGTTTAACAGATGCATTAGACCATTGGGGTATGTATAACGAGGTATACGAGTGGGTAAAGCGATTAGGAACATCGAAAATTACGATCGTGTCAAAAAGTCGATTTACTAGTTAGGAGGTTCGAGACCTAACACGTGATTAAAGTTTTTTGGAAAAATTTTGCGAAAATACATAATGGTTTTTGAAAATTACTGTTTTTTAGTATTACACTAAAAAAATAGGCTTGAGTGGAATATTCCTCCTTAAATGTTTTAAATTTATTTGCTCAAAAATGCTGTGAACATAAAAATACATACTACTTACGATCAGTAAACTATTTAATAGGTCAAGGAGTGATACGTACCCATTTCAAATACAAGGGTTAATATCTAGTCCTAAATATTATCATATAATAAAACACAGATTTTTAAACAGAGCGTCACGAGATATGATAGTGTAATATTATTAATTATTATTATGAACGACCGTCCTGTGTTAGAAATTCATAATTTGTGTTTTAATAGTCGTATACAATTTTATTTTAGTTTTAAATTCCAGCATAACGTTTTATTTTTTAATGAAACATTATTGAATAAAGCATACAAAGTATAATTATAATAATATATTATTTTTAGAGATAAACAAATGAAATAGTCAAATTTGACTTCGTACTGAAGACATTGTTTTTGAAAAATAAATGGATAATTACATTTTTTTAGAGTTCTAAAATCTATTGTATTATCTATGTCAAATGTCAATCTAATGTTTTAAATCAATTAGTATTTAAAATATTTAATATGTTTGTATTTATTATTCTAATGTTTAAAAACAATATAAAATTATTTAAAACCATTAAATGTACGCTATTTAACGTAAGGCTTTTAAAAACGATCAACTTACTGATATTTTACCACAAACTTAGAGTTATTGCAAAACTATTGAATACTATCCGAAATATTGCACATTTTAAATATTTGAATGATAAAAAAAAAGTTTAAATACTCTTTTTAATATTAGAATTTTTCTTGAATATAATATTTTCTCCTTTCTATTTTATTATTATTATTATATTATGACATTTTTGTGTTATTAAGAAGAAGAAGAAAATTTATTTAAATCATTTTGACTTAATTTCATAACATGTATACAGACGCTTTATTCATAATTAATAATCATATCTATGTATCCGACATTATCTGTTCGTAAATTTAGTGTTTTTAAAACAATATTGGTGTAGTGTTCACTAGGTACTCACTATTATATTATATTATATATATATATATAGACTATTGCTTATTTGTATAATATGTATGCGTAGACTATTTAATTACGTTTAACAGTCATTCATCCCATTTTAAGAAAACAATCGATATGTGCATACACATATAATGTAACTAATTGATGATTTTTTTACCTGATTGCAGCTAATGAATTTTGGCAATGAGTTTAAATTTTTCTGTCCATCGCAGTACGCCCAGTAACATCTTCCACTCCACCTACAAACACACATACGTGATAAAATGAGTTCTTAAAATACGTCTTGTTGACGCTTCACGATTTTTTATTATGTTTATATAGATAATTTTGCGTTTTTATAAATATCCATTTTTACCACATACATATGCTTCGCCTATACGGGAATTCACATATAATTCAATATTGAAATAATTTATTTTGAATTTATAATAATACAGTTCACTTAATGCTTTAAATATCTCTCTTGATCTATTTTCTATCCTTAACTCTAATTCCGTAATTGTCATAAAAATAATATCTAATTACTTTTATATTATAAGCTAGTTTTATCATTAAATAATTGTTCTGTTTTTATCACATTTATACAATAAATAATTGTGTATTTTTGTGTACTATGTTTTATAACGAATTATGCATTTATATTAATTATGTATATTATATTATGTAATAGTTGAGCTATTATAGTTTTGTGCTGAAAGCTAATAAAAAAATAAAATAATATTTAATAACAGTGTAAGTATTGTAGATAAGTATAATATAATATTTATCTATTTCAAATAATTATCAAAACAATTTGATTTCATATAAATATATATATATTATGTTGCAAATAATATACCTATCTAAAATAAGTAGGTTGTCAAAATAGTATGTTACGACGTTTAAATAAATAATATTGCAGTGATGTCGTAACGTTAAAACAAATTGTTTGTTATTAAACACAAAATGTGTGTTCTAGTTTTAAACAATTAGTGCAAAATTACGTAATTTTGCTATTGATGTTCAATTAAAACAATAAAATTAACGCTTCCCATTTAAAAAACAAACTATTCACTTAGTATATAACGGTACTAATAAATACAGTAGTTGATTTTATTAGTTTAAAACAAATTTATTGAATATTAAATAAGATTAAATAATTGATATCTTTGAAAATTATTATATTTACAACTGCAAATCGGCAATTAAAAACCTTACCCTTCGATTGTGTCAAACTTGAAAAACGGTTGATTGATTACGCCGGCGATAGGTTTTCCGCTATGCTTGTCAAATAAACCAATATTAATTGTAACACAATGGAGTCCACTTGAATGAAATCCGTATTCGTTTATATTATCGACATTTCCGTTTATATATTCGTTTGTTGAATCTAAACAGTAGTAGGTTAAATAATATATTAGTATTTATAATAAATAAGTTTTATTATTGTATTAACCTAACTTATATCATAAAATAATATAATGTTTAGAGCATTTACATAGTAAAATTAGTATAAAAAAACGAAAAAATTATTAAAATATAAATATCAACTAATAACGTAACGACTATTAAACTTATCGTTAAACTATACATAATATTGAATATTATTAAAAAACTTTAATTGTCCACCATTCATCAATAGCGTTTATAGTGATAACATTTTTTTAATAATATTTCAAAGAGTTACAATGATATCATTTTTTTCGTTTTATAATAATATTATTTAATATACGTATTATAAATTATAATACATAGGTACAATAATTACCAATAGGATCGATCCATATTCCGACTTTCTCCAAATCTAAGTTTTCCTCTTCAGGTGGATAACAGTCGACGTTGAGATCATTCAACCTGAATTCTTTATGAGCAGCTTCGGCTAAACTTTTTGCTGAGTCTAAATCGTCACTCAAAGCTTTGGACAAACACTGCAATGTCTCTTCTACTGTCTCTCCGACTATTATGGTGACGTCTTGACCTTTATTGTTCTGTATTGTATCATTTTCTTCACCATACACGTTTCCATCGAGTTCTGGAAACTATAAATAGAAATTTAAATTTAAATGATTCCTATACGGATAAGTTCATAAGATTTCAGGGTTCGGAAGAAATACGATATGTGAATACTCCTTGTTTGAAATTGGATCAAAACCAAATTAAACAATGTCTACGCAACACTAAACATTAACATCAGAAAAACAACAGGACTTGGAACTAATACATAAGCAAGTGACTACAACCAGTACGACCTCGATTTTCACAGAACTTAGTCCTAATAGAAGATTCTTAAGACGATGAAAAATGACTACACATAGAACATGTTACATTTTAATTGTTTTATTTATCAATCCTAAATCTATTAATATTAATTATTAATATATTATACTCACTAATAATCAGTACTATTTACATAACGTAACGTTAAAAAAAATTTTATAATATAAAAATTTCAACAAACTTGTTAACATATAATATTATTATAAAATGTCGAAACCTTTTTAGCATGATAAATAAATGAAAAACATACATAACTTATCAACTATATATTTGATAATACATATGTGACGGTTTCATATTTTATTGTATAGCTATAATATTAGTTAATATTGAATACTAGTAAATTAGAACTCAATATATGTTAATAATAAATGATATTGATAAAGAAGTAGGCAAAAAATTATAAAATGTCTGCACTTTATAGGTGTCAATAATATATATTATTGTAGTAATAATATGTATATTATACAATAGAATATGTTAATAATTTTAATTAAAATTGATGTTTAGACTAATAATGTGTAAGTACCCTGAAAAAAATTAATTTTGTAGTATTATAGACTAAAGTATATCTGTTATATAATGTTGGTATATTATGGAATTACTTTTTCAGACATATTTTTTGATAAACATATATATATATATATATATTAACTGGTTGGTTAGACAATGCGTAGTTCTTTTTTTCATTCTACAAGATAATAAATCATATAAGCCAGGAAGTAAATACAAATTACTGACGTCATACTTAGGTAACGTTTTTATCCAAGATAAATGTATTACCATTTATACTTTACTAAAAAAGTTTTGATTTTGAGAGGAACGATTAATGTATTCATTTTACAATGATGTGTATGTTTTTTTTTTTTTTTTTTTTTAGCACTTTTTGAAACAATAAAAATTTGATTTTAAATTTTGGGAGTAGCTTTTAATAGCCAATTGGATCTAGTTGAAATTTAAGAAGGTTAAAACTTTCTAGTAATTTTTTTTAATAATTGAGAAAAACAAAAAACAATTAAAGTAAAATGGGAATTTTCAAATTAATTTAATTTTCGACAAAATTGATTTTTTGTTTTGCTATAATTTATAATTAAAAAGCAAACAACTGTTCGAAATTGAAACTTGAAGTAAGTAATTTATAGAAGTATAAGAATCTATATTATATTTTTCTATACATTGTATAATTGTATTATATTGATAAAAGAATATTGTCAATATTTTGACTATTTTTCAACCATTTAAGACAATTTAAATTTTCGACTTTGCTTAGTTATTTTTTGTTAACAAAAATGTTTTTTCTAAATCAAAAAGTTTGAAAATTGAATACAAGCTTTTTTATAAGTTGCTATAATAGAAAGTGAACGTAAATCTATAACAATTTTCATAAGCATTTAAAGTTGAAATGTCGACAAAATTTGTAAAATCTTAAACATTTTCAAATTATTTTGTTGTTAAAAATCTAAAATATTCGATTTGCTTATCTACTATGATGGTTTGAATATTGAATAAAAAATTCCTCATAAATAGAGGTCGGATTTATATTCTCTTAAAATCCTTTAAAGATTTAAAGATTTTAATTTTTGTATATTATTTTATAGATAATATAAAGATTTCTACTATGAACCTATTCATATTGTTTTATAGTAAAGTAGTATTGACTCAAAATTTAATAACAAGAGTACATTTTAATATACTATTATAATGATTATTTATTAATAATATTTATAAATACTATGCTTTTAGCAAAAATTAAATCAACCTACTGTTCTAATGTAACACTAATAATTGTAAACTAAATTACTTTAATTGAAATATCAAAAAGCATATTTTGAAATAAATTCAGTAACAGCCTGACAAAATCGTTTTTTTGTATAAAATGATACATAATTCAAATTTAATTTAGTCATTATTGTGATCTACTCTAAATAAATACGTATACTGTACAGCTGAGTGGTATTCACTTGCCCAAACGATTTTTTTCTATATTTTATAGTTAGGTATATACAATACCACGCATACTTGTATTAAAAAATCTATCCAATATATCTGCGAGATTTAAAAAAAAAAAAACATGAATGTCATGTCATATTATTTTCACAAAAAATAATAACTATAAGTAGAAATATCTAATATAATATTTATATGAAAACAAAAATTATTTTACGCAAATACTTTTTTTGAGAACACTGATATTTTAAATTGTATTATATAAAAATGAATTCTATTTTAAGCAAAGAAGTTATAATTTGCAAATAATGTTTTTATTGTTTATTGAATAATTTTTAACTTAAATATATTAATACGTTAAATTAAATTATGAAAACTGTCGAAGTAGAACACCAAAACAAACAAAATTATCGATCTAATGACTTACAATAATATAATATATTATGTCTATATACGTTTTTACCTCTCATATAATATTCGCAATGCACTTATATCGGTACACCTCAAGGTAAGCTTTACTGGCTACTTGTTAAATTTATAACCCTGGCCAATTATTAAGTAATGTCCATAATTCAGTATGTACGTATTATGTAGTCAAAAATTATTATCCAGTTATATAATATACACATACGACATAATAATAATAGATGCACAAATGCACTATAGTCCATAACAACATAAAGGTTTAAAGTGTGATTAATTTTAAAATATCTGTTATGTGATTTATATTACGAGGAGAGCAATGACTGAGATCCCACCACGTGCCGAATAACTTTTAACGTTTAATACATATTAATAATTGTATGATAAATATAAAATAGGGACCGGAAATATATTGATGTACTAAATAATTTAATTTAATTTATATATTATCTATTTACTCAATACGACTCTCCATATTTCATACATAAATATGGGTATTAGTTTAATTTATATTTAGTGCGTTATAAGGTATTACATTATATTATAGCAATACAATTTTAGTTGGAAATAATAGGGTGGTTATTAAAAAAAAATTATTAATAGAATTGACTATTGCATTATAATGATTTTCTGCCAAATTGTATTAATTTGTTAATTAATTCGTTTTTTATTCATTGTTCGTATATTTTCGTGTTTGTATTTGATGTAGGAATATACATTAGGTGACGCTTGTTAACAAATCATAAATAATAGAAAACCCAAATTTCACAACGAACTAAAATTATTGCTTCATGTAACGGTATACTTAACGTAGCGTGTATAATATTTTTAAACGAATTCTCACAAACGTAAGCGTATAAAATAAAATATACAAAATACAATAATATATTGTTCCGAGCCCTGAATAAAAATAGCACGTGCCCCGCACGTGTATGGATATCATGATACGGCAACCGCCAACCACACGACCGACTGTCGGCCGTCGTCTGCACGTCGAACGTATGTCTCGCGCGACATTCGACCGTCAAAATAATAATATCATCACATATTTTATTGTGCACCTACCGCGGTGCACTGTAGCTCGCAGTGGTGCAGCCGCTGCAGCTGTGACCGCGGCAGTCCAGCGCGCACCAAACGCGATCTATATGGCGTGCATGTTATAACGTACGTATATGGGTACGTCGTATCATTTGGCGTACCTGTCGGCCGATGCGTTTGGCCACGATGCGCTGCACCAGCACGTCGGCCAGCGTTTTGAAGTCGTGCGCGAACCGACTGCTGTTGGCGTCATCGCCGCATTTCTCCTGGACCAGCATGGACAGGAGCCGCGGATTAGACCGGCACAGCCTGGCGACGTGGGCCGCCGCTTCGGACGCGAGGAGCGCGCAGCCGATCAGGCCGCGGCCAGCCGCGTTTCCGCCGCCGTCCGGGGAAAACATGGTGCAGTCGCAGTGCGCGCCGCGTGAAATTCGAACGCGATGTGCGCGCCGTCGCGCTTAGCCGCGACATCGGCCGGCGGCGAGAAAATCAATCACTGCGTTGCGAGGTAGACGGCGGCGGCGGAGAGCGCGTGCGCGGGCGCTTGTTATTTAAGTAATAACGTTGTTTGTGTGACAATGCGGCGGAATACCATGTAGGGAATCGTGCGATAGGTATTATTGTTGTGTGCCTGTTTAAGCGTAAATTGTAAATGGGTACCTACGTTAATAGAAAAAAAAAAATAATAATAATATTTGAAAGGACAAACAACTAAAAGTATAATCTATAAAGCGTATACGCGTATATACATAAATTAATTTGTGTTAAACTATCTGCAGAGATTCGTCGTCTGTAGATTTAACTCCATTCTGCGATACCATATCGTATCACGTTTATAAACGTATGCTCCATAAAATAAAATTTATCTGAAAAACTTTTGGTCTTGAGTAGTTGTTCTCATACCCTACAAATATTAAAAAGCATTTGAAATATTTTTGTTTCTTTTTTTTTTCAAATAATTTTTCATTAGAATATTTACAAACCTATTTAGGAAATTTTAAATATATAATTTTAAAAGCGTTTATAACAAATTTGCATCTAGACGATACATACTATTATAGATTTATGCAAAGGCCAATGAAGTATGGTTTTTTTTTTTTTTGTTGTTGTTATTTTTCATATTCAATGATAATTAGTATATGTAAGGATAATCCAGCCTTAGACCACCATGTGTAAAGATCATTTAACCACATGTGAGTAAAAATGCCATCTGTTTTTAATAAAATATTTTAAAATTTAAAACGGTATTATTTAATCGAATTTCACGAATATTTTTATGTCGTTAAAATACGTTGTATCCCAAAAAATGTTTATGCTACATTGTTTGTAAACGTTCAAAAATACTTACTATCTTTTTATTTTGAATACTTTTCTGAAATAATCAAGTATGTAAAAATTTTAATAGTTGCTGGTAAAAATGTAAATAGTATATATTTTTTTAAATTAAATCTCTATATCATTAAAGATAGTTTCCGGTAAATTAAATCTAGTTCGTATTTTAAATGGTTAAAAGTAAAAATTCACAGTGCTTTTCTTAAATATGAAAATCCGAAAAAATGCTTCAGATATTTTTTCTCACAGAATATTTAGATTAAATATTTCTCAAAAAGACCTAATTTCTGAATTTTATGAAATTAAAACTTAAAACAATAATCATAAAAATCGTTTTTTGTTTTTCATTCGAAAAATATTCCGTGATTACGCACATGCAATATATTGTGTATTTGTGTGTTTACATAGTATTTGTGGATACAACTGTAGTAGTTTTGAATAAATGTTTACCACTGAGCCGTTAACGAGTATTTTATTTAATCGTTGTGTGAACTTAAACGAACTCAGATCAGATATTAAGATAATATACTAGACTCAATCAAACACCTAAAATTAGTCAGGACTTAATTCAAAGTTATCTGTTTAAAGTGGTAACCTTTATAAAATTTAAGATATTATCGCTTTTACGTGTTCCACTCATGTCAAAAATAGACGTGGCTTTTAAAAATATAAAAACAGTAACAGAAATTCAAACTTGCCACAATTTTGGGATATGAAATTATCGTTTAAAATGTATTTTAATATATGGTTAAATATTAAACTGCTACATCTCGATAATTTTTTTTTTTTATATTTCAATTTATTAAAACATAGTGGCAACAATTTATAATGTTTATGTTTAAGTATCAATGTGTAAATAGTATAAATGTATGATAATATGACATGTCATCGTATACTTTTATTGTTCGCTATATGTACGTGGGCGTTGCATTTGCGTCACAAGAAAGCCGTATAATGACGACAACTAGTGATGATTGTTAATTAAATATACATATTATATATTATGCATAGAAAAAAAATCGCTTTCGAAGCCCATTTGAAGCCAATTAATTAGAGCACAATTTTGTGAGCAGTATTATGCGACGAGTTAGTTGTTTTTTTTTTCATATCTAACTATGTATTCAATTTAGGAGCACGGCAATAGCTATAATTAGGCAATAGTACTATACAAACTTTGTTTTTCAAATTAGAATACTCCTTTATATTACTGTATATAATTTATTTGATGATTATTTTAAAAATTTTGACGTATTGAATTCTAAATTTCGAATGAATAGTTTTTTAATTCTTATTAATACGTTTATACCAAGGAAAAGTGAGGATAATAATGTTTAAAAATAGTTTTACAAAAATATAAAATATATGTTGTATTTATTATACTTTATGGATTTTTTTTTTCAATTATAAAATATGTTAATAAATTAATATTAATTACTAAAATTTTCAACAATATGTGTTTTTTTCGACAATAGGTATACTATATCTACGACTGGCGAAATAATATACGTGTTGAAATTAACATTATTCAAAACAGATTATGCCACAGACTTTAAAACCACTTAGTACATGGATATATTTAGTGTTGTAAATACTATTAAAAGTATTTGTATACGTTTTACATTTTCATTTCAGTATTCAAAATACTACTCAAATACTTTGAAAAAGTATTTAGAAACTCCTCAAAAACTTTTGATTATTATTTTGTAATTCTTAGGTTTGTAATTGATACACCTAATTACTTAATTATTACATAATAATATATACTCGTATATGGTAATTTATATTTGTTTTTTAAATAACTATTTATTACACTTAGAAAACATATTTTTCAAAGTTATCAGCCGCTATGTTGTCTATATTTATTATAGTTTGGAGCACTTACCACTGAGAAAAACTATATTACGGAAGTGATGGACAATAATGTTTGTTTAACTAAATTTTTCAAAAAAATAATACTCACATTTTTTATATAATACTTAAAAAAAGTTTTTATATACTTTCCTTAAACACTTCACATTGTCAGGTATAATCCATATAAAGTTGTATAACATACACTTTATATGTTATTTTAGTATGTTTAATATGTATGGTGTATGTAATATACATGTTTAAATAGGTATATAAGTTGTTATTATTGTTCATTTTACATAGTCGCATTTAAATGTTCATTACTATTACCTACAGTTTTAAATTATTCTCAAGCCGTAGTATATGGAAACAGCTAAGCATAACAAACCAACAATCATTTATCGATGTTTAATTTATTCTTACGTTGAAATATATTATCGTTTACTACAATGACATAATATTATATCGTAGGTTAGTGATCGATTAAGTCAGCGTACAATCCAATATGAGTGAAAATATATATGCACATATTACACAGAATACCAATACAATTTAGTTATAGTTATATATATATATATGATGATTATTGTTTATATGTGTGATAAATGTACCATACTCATGTTATACAGTAGTTTTAATTCAAAAATAATTAATATTTTAATATTTTAATGTTATTGTCTACTTCACTATTTAAGTTTCGAACACTCTATATCAAAATATCGTCTACATAATTTTAGATTCTATGTTTTTTAAAGTATTAAAAATATTATATAATCATGATTTTTTTTTTAAAACATTCTAAGTTAAATTTTTAACAAAATCCCGTATATTTATAAATAATTTAAAAGTTTATAAAATATTTAAATTTATAAGATACATTTTTAACAAATTCATAACAATTAAGAAATTTTCCTAAGATATTATACAGTTGTTTGTAATATTATTTTTTCATATATTTATAAACATGATAATATTTAATATTTAGATTTTAGATGAGATAATTATGAAATCAGCGAGTATATTTATACTTAATATTACTACAGTAATAAGATGACTAAATTTAAACATGCCCAATTTGGAAAAGTATTTTTATTTATTCGGGTTCAATTTGTACACAAATTAGAGCTGTAACTATTTTTGGTCCAAACTCGGCTACGGCAAAACAAAAATTAAAAGTTTTAGTTTAAAAATATTATTTATGGATTTTGAAACTTTTAACGTATGTCGTAAATTATTATATTTTATACGCACAATAACATTTTTAAATTTGGTATTTTCGATAAATTTAATTATCTACTGCGTATTACTATATAATAGTAAAATAAATTACTGCAGCAATATAAATATATTACGAATTTACGATATAATTTGTATGTAGGAATTTAGACTTATTTTAGATGCATAATTTTTTGTATGCAATTATTTATTACTGAATTCAAATTAATTGATTTGATTTTCAAAATAATGCATAAATAAGAATACACGTGGTTTCAAATACAAGTTTTCACACGAGACAAAAATGATACATACCTGTGTCCTCTTATTTGAAGTTTCTTATTAATTATCACCTCTAATAACCGGACAATGTCTCGCAAGTTAAAGTTCTTATAAATAATAAATAGTGATAATAATAATGAATTTTATTATTTAAATGCATGCATATTATGAATGTGGAATAAAAAGTATAATGGGCGCAACCGACAGTTAATGTACACGCTGCTAATTGCCTAGCAATTTAGTGATTAGGTAGGAGATATTATAAGGGTGTAATTTGATAAAACTATTTTTTAAGTTAAAAAACTTACCTAGGCATGAAAATAGTTAAAATATTATAAGAAATATAATGCTCAAAAAATATATTATGTATATGGAGGTGGCTTATACATATTCTATAATTTTTATAATAGATGATGCTTATAATGTGTAAAATATAATATTATATTAGTATAAACTAAATATATTGCATTATTTACAGCGTTTGTACGTCCCAGTCCTCTTTGATCATGTCCGATGCTTTTTCCGCGATCATAATCGTCGGTGCGTTGGTGTGAGCCGCCGGTATTTCCGGCATAATCGATGCGTCTACCACTCTCAAACCGCGGACGCCGTGCACACGTAATCTCGGATCGACGACTGCCGTAGAATCAGAGGCCAGTCCTATCTTGCAAGTGCCGGACAGGTGATAGATCGTGTACGATATCTGTCGGGCGGAACACTTCCAGTAAGCGTCCGTGTCGAACACGTGTTGCTTGCACCCAGGCAACGGAGTGTTCAGGATCTTGGCGCCGATTAATTTCATCCGACCGGTGCGCAATATCCGTTGGAATAATCGGACTCCAGCCACCAACACGTCCAGATCGGTCTCGTCGGCAAAATAGTTAGGGTCGATTAATAGATGATGAAACGGGTTCGCGTCCCTCAGCCATACTTCAACCGCGACTCTTGGGTAGCATTACTCTTCGTCACTACTGATCCGGCGCTCCCGATACAGACAATGATAAAATCGTATTCCGGAAGCACGTTTGCTTGATCAACGGTTAACTGTGTTTCCCATTCCAAAGTTTCTCTCAAATATTTCAACGCCGATTCGAATAAAGGTGGATAGTATGATGACGATGACCATGAAGGAACATTACATCATTATGTGTTTATGATCAAAATTAGTGTCAAACCTATAAGAAATACACAAAATAATTATTACATAAACAAACACTAGTATTTCAACCGGCAGCGATATTCCGATGACGTCAGAGGAGTACCGTTTAACGTCGTCTCTAAGTTTGTACTTGTGTACATAAATTACACAAATACGCGTACGTACGTGATAGTGAAATAAATAGAATAACGCATACGTAATGATCATTGTGAGACTCAATTTTCATCGCCTCTATTTACTAAAAAAAGAATTAGTGGTATTTTGATCAACCTAAAACACATAGTTAATTGTTGTTGTCATTTATATATTATTATATAAATAATTATAATTATTTTTATGTTTTTAAATTCCATTATTGCTTAGTTTAATTTTTGTTATGATAGGGGGAGGAGTGATACAAAATTACAAATAAGTCGCCTCGGTAAAAAAATACAACTCAAACCGCCACTGTGACCTAAATCTGAAGATATAGTGGGCATGGACTAATTACACCTAAAATAAAGTTTTTGTTTAGGGTCAATGTACCAATCGCGCTCCTTATATTTTAGGATCAGTTTACCAATTGCGCTTGTATAAAAATTTTTCTATTTTCAGATATGAAAAAAAAGGTCGTTCAATCTAATTCTTTAATATCGGCATAAACAATCTACACACAAAAATGCTTAAAAATTAAAAACTTATTTATTGATCACTTGATTACTGGTTTAAGTAACTAATTATAATATATTTTTTAACATTATCGGGAATTTTATAAAACATTATTATTATTACGCACATTTAGAGTTATTAGAATTTGAGTGATAGACAAAAATAAATTTTCATTATCGTTGGATATTTATCAGTCTAATTACTCTAATTGTTTCGTTGTACAATATGTACTGTATTAAATAGAATAACACATTGATGATAGCCGTTACTTATATCTTGTTGTTTAATATTAGTTTGAATTATAAAAAATTTTAAATGTAAATTATTATGTAATTGATATAACTTTAAAGTTTTAAGGTGACCACAGTGACAAAACAATTATTTTAATAATGATATTGGATTTGTGTAAAAATTCTCGTTTTTCTTAATTTTTTGTTTATTTTACCCATTATAAAAAATATATTTTTGACCTTTTAAAGTACAAACTAAATCCAATATTCTTAAAAAGTCGAAAACTTAAAAAGAAAAGCACTAAGTAAAATTGTATACACTTATTTTTTAACTAATTTATGGTTACATTTAACTTGAAATTTTAAAATTTTATCTTAAAGAAAATATTAAAAAGTTAAGACAATATTTTTAAATTATATTTTAAATAATTTTTTGTAATATACCTACTAATATAAAATTAAATTAATTATTCTGTTTTTTTTTTTTTTTAATGTACAAATGCAATTATAAAATATTAATAACACATTGATGTATTGTGTAACAATTATAAATATTAATATGTTACATGACACCTATTCATATGAACCCCACTTTATACTGACCGATACATTTAGATTAACACACACACACACACACATACATATAAGTGTAAGGCTTATGGCCAATACACACTATGTATAGGAAGACAGTTCACTGTGTACCTTTGACCAAAATACACTATCAACACATGAACTCTGTAGGACTACGACACAGACATATATTGTTATCAGATAATAAGATTACCTGTATATGTAAGTATTATGTTATAAGTATTTTATAATTTATAAATTAATAGTCACTATCACTGAGTCCGTGGTTATTTAAATATATTTTACGATCCTTTTAATCCATCTCTACTCCCAGCAACGGTTAACTATATTCATAGAATCCTACGATTCTCCCTGAGTATCTTATATTTAACCGATCGTTCCCCCGACCACGTTACACTATAATAAATATACTATACCGAACAACTCCCCAAAACAAGTCTTCCAACTCTAGTGACGTATAATCGTATGCAAATAACTAACCGCTGATATCACATGTTTGCATCAAATAAAAAGGTTAATTACTTAATGTATCCAATGATTTTATATGCAAAGCTACCTATCGCCATATTTATGTAACATCATACCTACTATTAACAAATGATATTTTAATTAAATACTGTATTATTCTAGGAGTAGAATAAAAAAATAAATATTCTGGGATGAATAAATATTAAATACTGTGATATTTATTAAGAATTGTCAAGGTATAAAAATTAAATAACGCAAAAAATCAAATTTCTGATAAATTTTTATATTTTATAATATAAATGTGCTTATATTGCCTATACAGCGCTTAGGGTCACAATAAAATATACAATGTCAACATAATATCAGACATAATATTTAATATTAATAGACTTATCTGTGGTCAGGAACTCGTTTTGTTTAAATCGCCCATGCAATGCAAAGTGGTATATCATTGATTTATTTTTAAACAATACAATATAAAAGGAAATATGATTCTGAATCAATTTTACCTAAATAAAAACATGCATATTACTTTCTGCTTAACTGAATATTATTGAAATAAACAATTATTCATTGTACAGTGACACTACAAACCATACTTGATTTTTCATCGATAGGATAAAAATATGCACTTAAAGTGTAAGTAACAACGTATATAGGAAGGACAAGGAGGTATAGGCCTTGAATGGAACAATAATTAAAATATATTTAATATTTAAACACACAATATGTAAGAGTACTATCGTTTTTAAGTTTTGTTAAGTCTTTTTATCAAGCTTAGAGTCTACGACGCCCCGAAAACAAAATTTATAAGGTACACTTATTTGATAATATGTACCTATCATAAATATTATTGGTTTAAAGCGTGGTTGAACTAATGTCGAGTTCTTATCTGTTGATTACTTTTTGTACTATATAGTTTTTACTCTCCATAGTGACAAAATTGTGAGATTTTGGTTTACCCAAATTTAATTCTGTAAAATTGCAAACACTTTTTAACACCTACCCTGGAGAACGATCAGAGCACTTTTTTAAATTTTGCATTTTGATCCTATTTTTTATAGAATAATTTAGGACTATTCTAAAAAACAATTCTTAACTATTCTTAAATTTTAATACTGTATTAATAATAATAACATTATATGTATAGGTAGATGACCAACAAGTTCAAATAACATATAGGTACACGAAATCGTCAATTGTGTTGCAATGTTATTTATACAGATAAAATCGCTTTTTAGGTAATACACACCGTTGGACGTCGGTAGTTATTATATAATAGTCATATCAGTTAATATGCTCAAAATCTTAGACTAGATTTAATTTCCAAAGTTGTTTGTACATAAAGCTATCCTTTCTATACAAAAATTATAAAAATTAAAAACATCATATATAGGTATGTGTATAATCACACCATTGACTACAACGTCAATACGTCCCAGTCCTCTTTGATCATGTCCGATGCTTTTTCCGCGATCATAATCGTCGGTGCGTTGGTGTGAGCCGCCGGTATTTCCGGCATAATCGATGCGTCCACCACTCTCAAACCGCGGACGCCGTGCACACGTAATCTCGGATCGACGACTGCCGTAGGGTCGGAGGCCGGTCCCATCTTGCACGTGCCGGACAGGTGATAGATCGTGTACGATATCTGTCGGGCGGAACACTTCCAGTAAGCGTCCGTGTCGAACACGTGTTGCTTGCACCCAGGCAGCGGAGTGTCCAGGATCTTGGCGCCTAGTGATCTCATCGGACTGGTGCGCAGCATCCGCTGGAATAGTCGGACTCCAGCCACTAACACGTCCAGATCGGTCTCGTCGGCAAAATAGTTGGGGTCGATTAGTGGATGGTGAAACGGGTTCGCGTCCCTCAGCCATACCCGACCGCGACTCTTGGGTAGCATTACCATTGGAAACACTATGAACCCGTCCTTGCCCTCGGTGGCCCGGTATACGGCGTCGTACAGGTCGGCCTTCATGCCACAAAGGCTAGAAATCATCTTATGGGACGAGTATGTCGCCGACGCTAGCAGCAATTCGAGATTGGCATGTCCGTCAATCGACCCGGGCCTGTGCGTGTCCACCAACGCCAGAGCTTCGGCACCTCCAGGCACTGTGCTCACGCTAACACCATGTACTAGAAAGTCGTTCACAGCGTCTGTATCTTTTAAAATGTTTTCCATTCGTATCGAAACGGTTTTGTTTATCGATACGGTCAAACTGCCGAGCGCTACATGGTCCATCAGGTTCTCGCCGACCGGCAAGTCTTTCACCAACGGGATGTGATGGTCCATCAGGTGTTGCTTCGGACCGATTCCGGATAGCATGAGCAGCTGCGGAGAATTTATGGATCCACCAGAAACGATCACTTCCTTTCGTACAAACACTCTGTATCTTTTGAGCTTCGAGACAAATTCCACTCCAATTGCCTTTTTCGTCGCTCCATCTATCAGTATTTGCGTTACCGTGCTGAACTTTTTCACATGCAGGTTCGATCTGTTTTTCGTTGGGAACAGAAACGCAGTGTTTGTGCTCCAACGACGACCGTTTTTCATTGTAGCCTGAAGTTAAAAAAAAATATATATATTTTTTTGTAAAACCATAGTATGAAAATGTTGATGGTTTTAATAATGATATACAATATTAAAGTTATAGAATGCTCAAACGTTCTTTAAAATTAAAATTAAAAAACAACAAAATCACGTGATAACTTCTTGTTATTATAAATTTGTGTGCCACTGATTGGTTATTAAATTAATAATGAAAGTGGCTGCTTGGTGGACAAACAATAAAAATTGGTTTTATTTTTCCTATAGTTTATTATAAAAAACTACGAAAAGCTTTAAATAAGATAGTTATGCTATAAATTACTGTTATTTTCTATAACCTATGGAGTATATTATACTACGAGTTATTGATTTAATAATATTACAAAATATTACTACGGCCATTAATTACAAAATAGATTCTTTAATCGATATCATAGCTAAATAAGACATGGGAACCAAGAAGAGTATTTTAAATATCCAATTTTCTTCTTCCTACTTATAGAAATTCACTATCACAACTTGGTGAGCCATGGCAGGTGAACAGGGAAGTGGTGTCGTGGGGACAGTTACTATTTATAATTATTAATTATAGTCATTCTTATAGTTCTTAGTTGATTATACTCGTCCAATATTTATTATTTTCGTTATTCATAAGTATATCATACATTTCTTTCTCTATTTTTAAATTGTATTAACATTTCTAAGAGTAATGAAACAGTTAAGTTGCATATATTATGCTAAAATAATTAAATAATTAAATTTTGTATCTAATTAACTAATTGAATTTTATTTGATAAGATTGGAAAATGTGTTATTTTTTTATGTGATATTGTTTATTTAAAAAAAATAAAAAATTAGACATTAGTCAAGGTGACTATCAATAAGAGAGTATCCAATTATTTTTATAAAGACTTTGTATTTTTTATTAAATTATATAATTGAACTATAGGCAAAGATTATAGGTATAAAAAAAATAAACTATACTAAAATGTATATTTTATATTGGCATTAGATTTTAATATGTACTATATTTTAACTATCAAAAGTTGATTTTCTCTAATATTATTTTTTCTTAATATTACGTAAAGCATTTTGTAGATGCTTTTTTCCAAAAAAATATTAATACTGATTTAAACTTATGAATTTATGTTTAAAAAAAAAAGCTAGCTTATAGAATTATTTATAGTTTATGAAACTATTAACAATAACAATGGTTTTGATTTCTCATGGGAGGGAGGATATATAGTGTACCTTAGATTGTTTAAAACCATTTATATTTTTGGGTAAAGGTCCCATTTTACATTTGACTTTAGGACCCTTAAGTTTAAATTGTGCCACTGTTTCGAGTAAGATCGTAGTTGTTTGAATATTGACAATTTAAAAGCTCCTTAAAACTCGTTAATTAAAACTAACGATCTAGTATAATTATATCTAACATAGTATTATATACTCACTGCCAAATTTTAAAATATAGATTACTTATGCATATATACTATTTTTAATAACTTTTTTTTAGTAATATAAATATTTTTATAATTATTTAAATAAGCATAAAAGAATTGTACATTGGAACTAGATTCTTATGAATAAAATACGTAGGCAATAACAATTTACATGTGTACTTTTTTTTGTTTTGTTTTGGAGTATAGTTTTAACACTTTTAACGTTTTAATTGTTTCTTATTTATAGATAATAAATATTAAAATTAATTTCAATTTTATTGAGGAAAAAAATCAATTATTTGGGAAACCAATCATAACCATAGCACCTTTTAAGTATAAAGTAAAACATATTTTTTTAACCTTTTATCATGTCATATTCAGCAGTACAATTTTACAAAAACAACAGCAAATTTAATTTAATTTATATATAGTTATAGGTATAATTAGGCCTCGGAAGATCTAGAAGCTAAAAAAGGCAAAATATGCACGAAAAAACTATAAAATATGCATTAAAAATTATGTTAAATATGCAAAAAAATTATTCTGAATTCCAAAAAAAAAAAAAATCAGATATTGTTAATGAATTAATAAAATAATAATATACATAAAAACTGTTTACAACTGGTTTTTAATATAATTAAAAATATTTTTTCAGTATTTTTGAAATTACTGTAAACACCTTCGTTGAAAATTTTAAGTTTTATAATTGAAGTATACAGGTTAAGAAAGAAAAAAATCTATTTTTTTAGAAAAATATAAAATATGCATAATATGTGTATAAAATCAATAAAATATGCACTTTTTAAACTAAAATTGACAAAATATGCAAAATATTATGCATTTTCAATTTTCAATTATTTAACTCTTTATTGTACAGTTCAGATTTCTAGCTTAATCTGCTATAAATTGAGAGCATATAAAACAATATGCAATTTCTACAACTTCCGAACCCTAGTTATAATATATAGTTATTTTTGTGTTTTTATAACTTTCAAAAATCGTGATTTTGAAGCTTAAAAGCCTACAATTTAATTTAAAATATTTTATGTACATTATATAATAACTAAATATTTACTATTACAACATTGATTTATTTTTACCTGTAAATAATTGATTCCTATTTGTTTTTTCCCATTTACGTCTACAATAGGAAGTCCGATTTGTGATCCGGCTTCAACAAAAGCTTTCGCTATTGGCGTCTTATAAGGGACGTCGGTCACCGACAACAATCCACTTTTGCCATGATAACCCGAATCAGCATGAGACAAGTTGGCGCTCTCCGATTTGATAAAATACTTCAGAACACTGTCATAGTCCCATCCTTGAAAAACGTTTTAATTTTTGAGTTTTCAAACTCGGTCCCGACGAGATATCTGCATATTGTTATATTACTGAAATAAATGTTTTACAGTTACCTGTATTGCCCATATTTGCCCATTTGTCGTAATCTTTTCTATTACCACGTGTATATATCATATAATTTAATATACTACTGCCACCCATGACTTTACCCCTTGGAAATTTGCATCGACTGCCCTCGAAACCTATACATTAGGAAAATCAAATTTTATTGCGAATTTTTAAAAAACTCGCTCTACATTAATTGATTTCAAAATGTTAGTTGATTGTAAAAATTACCAAGGCACGAATTATTTGTCGGCACTGTTTTGTAGTTCCAATTGATTGTGGAAAATTGCCAAAATGGAGCGGCCAATGGTATATCCATGAGATGGATGGCGTGTTGTCCAGCTTCAATCAATAATACCTGCCAATTTTTGATCTGATCATCACAAGCATGATCATAGTAAGATAAATAATTTAATGAATAAAAAAAAAAAAAAAACACCAAAACCACATCAACTACAAATTAAAACGTTACTCTGTTTTTGGTTACTTACTTCAGACAATCGACTCGCCACTACTGATCCTGCACTTCCGGCACCGACAACAATGAAATCGTATTCCGGAAGAACTTGTTCCCGGTTGATGGGTTCACGTGACTCCCATTCAAAATTTTCAATCAATGACTTAAGACCCGATTCGAATAATGAAGAAAATCCTGCACTACTCGTATTTGTAAATCCGCGATCGATTGAAACTACAAATAAATACAATGATATTTGCACCTGAATTGATAGTGAAATAATTTTTATAAATCTCATTATCTTAAAAATAATTATATGCACTACTATTATTTATACTTAATTTATTGTATTTTTACAGACAAATTATTATTTAGTATACTGATCAAAAACTAATATATTTTAGTAAATAATTTTAAAAAACACTACAAAAATTATGGAAAATACAAATCAAGTTAGACGTATAATATTTTTCTTTAAACATAGTTTGACTGCTTCGGAATTTAAACTGAGACTCAATCCAACAATGAATTTCATTACGGTTGTATTTATTATGATTAATTTTCTAATAATACAATATTAAAAATTTACGAATGAAGGTCGTGCTGATAAAAAATAGTTTATTAGTAAAAATATCTTTATTTTTCATTTTTGTATTTAAGTTTTTCTATAACTTCCATTTGATGCTTATTATTAAAAATTATCCAAAAATATAATTATTTAGAAATATTCTCTATTGTAAACGCAGGGTTATGTCATTTGCAATGGGTAAGTATTCAATATTTTTATTTTCTGCAAAATATGTCACTGTTTATTATGCAACAATGTAAGTATATCGTTTTTTTTTTTTTTTGTAATATATTTATTTATTATAATATTTTAATTCAACAAAGATATTAAAAATTAACTGATAAATTTGTTGTTTTTTTTTTTTTTTAAATTAAATATCTAATTATAAACTGTAATTTACGTTATCAAGTTAATAACAGACCCAGCAGCCTAGCTAAAATTTGCATGAATATAGCAACCATGTCGCTTTACTACTCGTATTATAATCTTGTTGTATTTCGTAATAATAAATGTAATTAATTTTATTATATTTTGAATATTATTAAAAAGGTAATGTTTATTTATGCGTAAGTGATCCATTACCAAATCTATTGCACTCATAGTTTTGAATTTCAATTAATAGATCATTTAATCACAAGGGTAAGTTACTTAGAATCAATTATAGTACAAACTTATATTTACGTACACATTCTTAAAAATATAAATATTTAAATATCGGTAAAGCACGATTGAGCATATACCTTTTTAGCAACATGATTGAGCATAGAATATTTTATACGATGTTGCCACATTCACGTTGCGAACATTTTGTAGTTTATTATTTTCACATATTATTACACCAATTATTAAGATATATCAGGCGCGAGCTGTGAGCCGGTCCAACTTTATCGACAATGTTATCGATTAATAAATTAATTTTAGAGCAAAAAAGTTCTACAGCGTTTTAAACATTTAGAATTGGGGGAAAATATAAAATAATTATGATACAATTCAAAAATTATTATAGATTATAGAAATAATATCAGTGTTCGATCACTTATCGTCGTGTCACATAAAGTGTGATTCTCATGTCCATGAAGTCGTTGGATATTGATCGAAACACAAACAGAAACGTTGACTAAGATCAAATCAATTCAAAATAAGTCCATATAAAATTACAATCCATTAAAGAAATTTAAAAAATAGAATTTTATATTCAAGCTTTCAACCAATATTTAAATTGTAAGAATACGGAATCTTTATTAAAATATTTAAACCAACTTGGAAATAGATACCAAGGTATAATAATATAATTTAATTTATTATTATTATCAAATAAATTTATATATTATATAATGTGACTACTATTGGGACTGTTATGGACTTATAAATATTTTTATTTTATTATTTTATGTCATAACTATTATTATTATCAAACAATCTAAATACTATTATAATGCGATTAGGTATATTACATATTACCTATGAAATCATGACATGTTATATTTTGAATTATTATAATTATTTGAATAAATAATTTTGTATAATACAGTTCAAAATTAAAGAAGGCAACGTTGCATAGTTTTTTATGCTCAATCGTGTAGGTTTTCTTTTGTATTTTAATTTCCTTTGATACGCCGACAATTTTGCTCAATCCTGTCACAAAAAAAGGTGTTTTATGCTCAATCGTGTTACAGTCAAGATAACAGGTAATCGAACATTATTATCGATTATTGCTCTGTTAATCTAACGAGTATATTTTATATTATACAATATACATATTAACGTTTGGTATTTTAAAATATTAAATATTTTTAGAAAATATTATAACGATCAATAACGACATTTAAAATTTTAAAAAATTTAAAATTTATAAAAATATAACCCAGATTTCAATAAAGTATAAAAAAAAAAATGACCTAAAAATACTAAAAATGACCCTAAATTCAAAAAAAGTACAAAAATATGCAAAATAAAAACTATATATTTAAACTCATAGATGACTGAATCATATTTTGTGCTTGAAAAGCTATATCCTGTAAATCTTAAAAAAAAATGCAAAATCCTATACTCGCCTTAAAAGAAGCATTTGCAACAAAATCTGGGCCCTAGTTATAATAATTACGACTTTAAATTGATTCGTAGACTACTAGTTTTTCTTGATTTAATGGTAGTTTAATTTTGGAATAAAAAACATTAATATCTATATTAAATTATAATATACAGTTAACTCCTATTATGTCAAATATCTAAGAAAATAGAAAATTTTAAAATACAGGGTGTTCCAAAATGATTCATCCGATTTAAAAAAATCATATTTATTGTAAAATTTGATTAATCATGTTAGAATTAATTTTAAATTTTGATGGATTATTTTAAGTTTTAGGTACAATGCTTATAAATGTTCAATGTGACCCCCCTTACTTGCACAACACACATCTAAGCGATATTCAAATTCCTCATAAACCTGTTGAAGCATGTCAACTGTAACCAAGTTGATGGCGCCTGTAATGCGACTTTTCAATTCGTCAAAATCTTTTGGAAGGGGAGGTACATAAACAATGCTTTTTATGTAACCCCAGAGAAAAAAAAAAAAAAAAAAAAAAAACTTCTCAAAGCGGAGCACACAAAACGCTTTTTGTTGCTCGGTCGACATTTCGATAACAACTAATTAAGTTACGTCACTAACGATTACGGTGCCGAATTTAACAACTAGATAACTTAAAATAAACTTAGTTATCTAATCTTTCCATTAATACATTGGTCATTAACCTGCGATTAACCGTTGCCGAACTATATCAGTTCGTAATCGGATGAATCATTTTGGAACACTCTGTATTAAGAATAATTTTAATGACATAATTTCAAGAGAATTTCAATGTAGTATGAGATGACAAAAAATTCATGATATCAATGTTTCGAATTTTAAGAATTTCCTATATTATGTTAATGTTTTAAAACACATTCTATATTCATAATAATTCTATATTTAAAAAATAATAAATTAATCAATGACATTGTCTATTGTTGCATTAAATCATAATATGTAATAAACAAAAATACCTAATACTTCAGTTAGTATTAGTAGGTAATACTAGTCTAGTCTTAGTAGATATAACACGTACCTAGCATAATTATATAGGTACATTTTATGTTATTCTTACTATTCTTCACTAAAAGTTTTTTTTTATCTCAAGTAGGTTTTTTATATTTAAACTTGAATTAAAGGTATTTTTCATCAGTGTTTTGTTAAAATTTAAAAAATACAGTAATATAAATAATTTTTGCTTTAACTTATTTTAGTGAGAAATAATAAAATTATAATTTAACTTATCAACTACAATAGTCGATGATTAACTTTTTTTTTTAATAATTAATTAAGCCTGCTGTTTTAGATAAGTTGTGATGAGATTTATCATTATAGAGTGTATATTATAAAGTAGGTATATAGACTATATATTTCGTTTTTAACATATAATTAGTAAAAAATATATTTTTAAATTCAACATATTGTATGATATTTTAGAGTATAATATTGGTATTGGTGTATAATTAATTGTAATATAAACCAAAATTTGTTTCTTGGTATTTATTTATTTTTTTTTTTTTTTTCGTAAAATATTAAGCTATATTATAATCTATTATATTATACAAATATAAAACTGTTTTCAGGTTTGTAAAATTGTAACTCGTCAACATTCATTAATTAAAAAATATGATCAAATACAATATTATCTATATTCTTTAGCTCTGTATCACTTACGGACATTTCAAATTATAACAGAACGTATTTATTAGCCTAAACAAGCCCGAATTATTACGTAATCCGTATAGAATGTTATTTTCAAAGTTATTTTTAACCTAGAAAAATTAATGTGGAGATTTCTAAATTATTATAGCACGATATTATAATAAACGGCTAAACAGATTTATACAGTGTTAGCAAATTTGACCGACTAAGATCATTTAAACTCATGATATTATTGTCAATGTAACTTATATAATCACCAGTATTATAAAATAACAACCTGCCAACTAAATTAGATGTACCACACTAAAAAATGAATACGTAATAACGAAAATATTGAAAATTTGATATATATCAATGATGATAACTAAGGATTAGAACTTATTGCTTCAAAAATGATCGAAATATGCAGTCAAAATTGTCAAAATACGTTTAAAAGTAAGTCGCTACTATTTAATTTTTTTTTTTAATGTATAAAATATATCAAATATTTAAAAAATAAAACTTAAATTAAAAGATAAAAATAATTTATAAATGATTTTTATTTCTTCTTACAACATAGAATATAGATGACATTAAGTTTTACTACAACTGATTATAAAGTAGTCAATATTTTTGCCAACTAAGATTTCCTGAAAAATCTTATATATAGATCTATTGATTTTCCTAATCTATAGGTGAGCTTAATTTCAAGTTTCTGAGCTTCTAGACTAGATCATTATATTAAATAGGATGAAAAAGACAGTTCTGGCGGCTGATCCTGCTGGCTGATCCCTATACTGGGTTGCTGACCCCTGACTATGTTTTTTTGACCCCCTGATCCCTGCTGATCCCTACCCACTGGTCGCGCACGTACGCGACGTATATTTACCCTCACCTCCTCATCATGGTCGTTCATATGCTTGCACTTGAAGGAGAATGGTACAAGGACGGAGCTGATGAGATTTTAAATCACCATATGGATGCATATGAAAACCGCGAAAGAGAATTTCGAAAAAACTAATTTTTTTATATATATTTCATATTTTGTTTTCAAAATAAATATATTATGATTTACAATAAAGCTAATATTATAATTTTATATTTTTATATTTTATTTTCAATTTATAAACATAATGTTAGCATGATAGTTATATATAGTAGTAATTTTTAAAGTTATACGTATTGGTGAGGTGACTGTTTAACGCACGCCCCGATAAAATAATATTATCCTATATTTTTGTGTAAGTTCTAGTTAATTGAGTGAAAATAACAATAAATTGGTTTACTTTGATAACATGATAAGTGATAACGGTAATATATTTTGTAGTTTTTTTCCGATTCGAAATATTGTTGCTTTTATAACATGATAAGTGATAACGGTAATATATATCTCGCACACGTATGCGACCGCCGGGCCAGCAATGGTCGACCATGATGAGGAGGTGGGGATAAATATACGTCGCATACGTGCGCGACCGGGCCTGTTGAACCGGGTTGGTTCAACAGGGATCAGGGGGTCAAAAAAACATAGTCAGGGATCAGCAACCCAGCATAGGGATCGGCCAGCAGGATCAGCCGTCAGAACTGTCTTTTTCATCCTACTATATTATTTTTATAATTCTATTAGCACCACCAATCATTTCCGTAATAGATATATAATCTATATTCATGATGATGTACATTGCTAATGAGAAATGTCCACTTCTATTTTTTTATAGCTTAATTATTATATTGTGTTTAGAAAATTTTATCGTTGTATAAAATAATTATGTGTCTACATTATGTAAACGTGTGTACAAATATTGTATTGGTCCGTTCTGTTAAAATAAAATAGCTAGGTTGATTATTAAATAATAAATGCTCATAAAATCTTACGTACCTGCCTGTCCTAAGATAAATTATTTAAAAAAATATTTTTAATCACTTACCACATGATTCCGTTACATCTAAAAATAAATATGTCAACATATATTGTGTTAATATTTTTAAACAAATAATAAAGATATATTTTTATCTTTTTTAATCAAATAGAAAAAAATGCTAAATATGTAAATTCAAACTTTTTATTTAATTTTACCATTTCATAAAACAAATTTATAGGTTATCTAAAATAATCTATGACTACTATATAAAAATCATGTAATTACAAGAAACTTTGGATCCTAGTAATAACTAATAACTTATTAGTAATAAGAAATAACTAACATTATCATTCAACTCTGCTATACTATAGATAAATCTAATAATGAATTTTGACGAAAGAAATGTAGATATTTTATATCTTTAAATTTTATAGATTAGATTGCATACTTACTTAAAAAAGGATAGTTGTAGAATTTTTTTTCTAGTTGAAATTGTTTACATAATTCAGGTGACAGTACGGTCTTAAATTTATACATGCCCTATATACATATATTTAAAATAAAACGAACGTATTTTAATTAAATTTTATTTTTGTTTAAATGTAATATAATAAATAATTAAAAATAGTGTAATTTTATTATTTACTTTACATAAATTAAGTAATGATTAAAAATAAAAAAGTTTATATAATAAATTATAAAATCAAATAATTAATTTAAAAAAATTAGTAATAAAATAGAAGCACCAATATTTTCACAACATATGAGTACTATAAGTTTTAATATGAACCTAAGTACAAACACTATTTAATTTCTGCTTTAACAATTTGGTCATTAGTATATGTTTTTTTTTTATTGAATTTAAGCCCGGCGACTAGGACCATTAGCTGTTGTAGGATTTATTAACTCTGGTAGGGGTAAGGTTGGTATGGTACTACGGTAGGTTGTTTTTTTTTATGATTGTTACGGTTGTTACGGTTGATAGCAAATACGTGTATGTGTGGCAAGGATTTTAACCACTATTAACCCGGGTGGTCACCCATTCGGGAGTTAGTAGCTGTGGTCGTTAGTTACTCCCAGTCGCATTACGCGACTAATAGCAGCCAACGCAGATCGCCAAGCCACATTAGTTTTTTATAAAGGAACTACGTAGGCAATAACAATTTCATACATAAACGTTTTTTTTTTTTGTTTTGAAGTAGGTATAGTCATATAACTCATAACAGTTTTAAATTTTAATCATTAAATTTGTTATTTGTAGATTATAATTTATAAATATTAATATTAATTTTAATTTTATCGAGGAAAAAAATAAACTATTCGGTAAACCAATTATAAATATAGCATCTCCAAGTATAAATTAATACATATTTTTTAATCCATATATCATGTTATATTCAGTGGGTACAACGATGAAATCGTATTTTGGAAGAACTTTTTCCAGGTTGATGGGTTCACGTGACTCCCATTTAAAAGTATAATGATAGGCTCACGTATCATTGTATATTATATAACTATAAAACTCAAATAAATAAAATAACGGTCTAGTTGTCACACGCAGATTAAAACCCCATAAACATCCTTTCACCACTGATGAAAGAAACGACTTATATTATATGGTTACGAAGGGATTGACACATAATTGTGGCAATGTACCGCAAAGCGTATGACCCAATTTCGTGTGCCGCCAGAGACAAGAGATGGTCCAATGAGGGTCTCTGTCGCCTAGGAGAAAGCCTGTTTCTTTAGAAAATGCGGAGACATTTGATGGTGCCGCCTGCGATTCTGGCTGGCTTGACTAAGTCGTCTTCTCTCATTAATGCATGGGCACCAGCCAAAACATTGAGTGCATGAACACCGACCAAGCTATCAAGTGCAGGTGCACCAGACAAGCGAGTAAAAACTCTTCTAAAGACCACCACATGGCACACACACAAGATTCTGCGAGCGACAACTGGACTTCTTTTTTATAAGTCAAATCAGAGTTGTTTTTTCTTATTTAAATTTAAGTTCTTCTTAAGTCGTTTCGCAATTTGAGTCACCTTATATCTCTCTCCGAGGAACTTACAATAGGCATTCACTGCGACAAATCAGTAAGGTGCATGTCTAAAATACCTATTGTTAGTACAGGTTCTTTTACTATCTAATTTATGTAACGGTGCACTTGATTATATTCTCGAATACAAGACCTCGAGAACCCTCCGAAGAACAGGAGGAAGGTAATAACGCGTGAACAAGTATATTCAATAATTATTACACCGGACTTACATCCAAGGCTTGTGTCCCTTGTGTTTGTCCGTCTACTATTATTATCAGTAGTTTTAACTAATTTATTTTCATTTTATTTTGTCATATTTCTTGTTATTACAAAAGTTTCATTCAAAAACCTAAAACCCGATCTTAATAATGGAGAAAACTCTGCACTATTCATTATTGTAAATCCACGATTGATTGAAATTACAAATAAATACAAAGATATTCGCATATGAATCGAAGATTAAATCATTTTTTTGAATTCTGTTCCCCCTTTAAATTATATTAAACAATTTTTGTGTACTAGTTAACTTGATTGTAAAAATAATATATTTTAGAACATAGCACTTTAAAGGATCACTACAAAAATAATCACGTTATTAATCTAACATATTTCTTTGAACATAGAATATAAATTAAGATCATATGAATTAGCTCACTACGGTTGATCCTTTATACAACTTACTCGTATTATACAAATTTAATACAATGTAAATGAAAATTAACTAAATAAAACCAGTTCCAATGACTTATGCATTTAATATGGATGAGTACTAAATATTTTCATAAATTTTAAATCTATATTATCTTTTTCTACACATGTTTTAATTTTCTCGATTATTTTTAAACCATTTAAAGATATTTTCAATTTTTAATTTCTTAATTTTTTTCTATTAATATCCTTTAAAATAATATTCGTTAAATCAAAGTTTGAAATATGTTATAGAAATATTATTTATAAGTTATAGACGTTATAGCATACAAGACTAACTGAAAATTAAATTTGAAGAGATATACTTGAAATCAAATTTAATATTGATAATAATAAACGATGTTTTCTATAAATCGTTCGCGTACTGCCACTGATGATTGAGAAACGTTACGTTATAGACAGTTATTGCATATTTAATGTATTACATAAAACGTATCGATACGTTCATGCAAATTAATCTGATTTGAATAGCATCTAGAGATTTCCAATTTACCAGCCACCGATTGGAAAAATAACGTTTACTGTCCACCGGACAGAAAAATGTTTTTTCCAACGCTCCAACCAACATCGATGGTTAAAATGTTAGTGCATACGTTGCAAAACTTTGTTTAATCATAAACCGTGATCATAATTCATAATAATAGATATTATAATCAAAAGAAGTTCAATAGCCAAACAACACATTAAAGTTTAATAATGTATCAGTGTTGTCATCTATACATGAATCTCGACATTACAAACACTATAGCTTATATAATTTTTATTCATTAGATGTAATGATGTTACAGTAAATTAAGAAGTTCAATACAACGATCAACGTAGGCAAAATAACTGCTAGAAATTATTCTAAAAAATAAGGAAATGGAATTGGGTCGTACACCAGAAGCGTGCAGAGCAAATTTAAAACACTTGCGCATTGTTACGCAAAAAGTTGATAATTATTACAATAATTTCAATATTGTAAAACATACGAAGACGCGACAACAATAAATAACATAATGATAATCGATTGAAACGTATAAAACATAAACAAGAAAATAATATTATGCGCCTAATTAAATAAATAATAATTAATAATCGGCGTCGGCCGTCCACCAGAAGTTTGGGCATTCGATGTTGTACGCGTACTCGAGACACCGGCGACTGATGAACAAGCGATCGGTGTAGTCCCTGTCCCAGGGACATCCGTTTTGATGGGCGTACACGAGGCACGGCAGCTGATCTAACATGGCCGCCAAAAAACACGTGTGCTCGTCCCACGGACATCCGTTTTCGTGCGCGTACTTCAGACAGTCCAGGTGTCCGCCCGCCGCGGCGTCGGCGCACGTCAGTTCGTGCCACGGACATCCGTTCTCGTGCGCATACCTGAGACAGTGCAAGTGACCGGCGCCCGCCGCCTTGGTGCACGTCCGCTCGTCCCACGCGCACGAGTTCTCGTGCATGTACACCAGGCACTTGAGGTGCCCGCCCAAGGCCGCGGCCGGGGGCATGGACGCGTCCCACGGGCAGCCGATCTCGTGGGCCAGCCTCAGACAATCGGCGTGGCCGTGATGCGCGGCCGTCTCGCACACGCCGCCGAACACGTGGCCGTTGTGGCCGCGCCGCACCTTCCGGTACATGGACCGCCTGTCGCCGTCCGCGTCGAAACAGCCGCCGTCCGAGTTCAGCTTCAAGATTTCGAACAGCGACTGGCAACAGCGCTGCATGTCGACCCGCGGAAGCGTAGAGTAATCCGTCCGATACACGTACCGCTGGATCTTGTTGCACGCCCGGTACGCCGACTTGAACAGGCTGGGCACGGCGTACTGTCTCCCGGCCTCGGCGGCGGTCGTCGTCATCTCTCGGGCAGACGGCGCCGGTCGGATGTGCGCTTACGCGTAGGTACCGCCGACTGGACGCATTGTGGCGTGGACTTCGCCAAAACCGAAAACAACGAACGACGTGTCCGCGTTGACCGGACGTCCTCACTCGTGTACGCTGTGGCTGTATATTTCGTACACTGCGACGCGAGAGGATAGTATATATATATATATATGTATAGGCGCACGGGGCAGAGAATTTCGTAATTCGAAACTCGATGACGCGGCGCAGATATCATGACAAAAACAATCGTATAGATAAACAAAGAATGTGGGTACGCGATTTATCAAAATCCGAAAACGCGTATTGTATGTACTATTAAAATACGTATGAGACGCGCGCGAACGAGAAAAACAAAAAAAACTTATTACTTGTAGTCCTGCGCGAAAGCACCGGTTGTCGACCCGGAAATGACCATCAAACGTGTGTGTAGATAATAAAAAAAAAAAAATTAATTTACAGAAAACGCAACTACATAAACTGACGCATTTACATAATATCGTAAATTATCGCACGGTTTAGATAGAGGTAGTTGGCTTAATAGTTAATAGTAGCCAGTAGAGCATCTAGAATCTATTGCGGTCAAATATTGGTTTGACTCACTGTCCTCGGTTAATGTCCGAAATCTAAAGTCTTACTGAATGTTAATCGATCTTGGTAATTCCCTGGAAAAATTGCTATTTGCTTCACACAATTTAACGATTAATCTGGAGACGATTTAGTGACACGTACATGTTCAAACTATAAGAGGCAAACCTAAGGATGTGCAACCGACGTTAGTATGAAATAATCTGGAAAAATGTCACTCATTGTTTAATGAAATCAAATACTTCAAAACTCTGAGCGTATAAAAATGAGTACACTATCCACATTATTTATACATTTTGACGGTAAAAAAAATCGTATTGTTCGGATAATCAATTGCGAGCATATTAAAAATTACTCCAGAAACAAATCAATAATGCAAATTTCAAATATAAACTTTTCAGTAGTTTACAGTATGAATCGAATAAAAAGTAAAATTCCGAAAATCGATCATAATAAAATGTATAGTCGTACATTCATATACGTAGCATACATAGGCGTGCGCAGACTTTATTCGCAGGTTGTGCAATAAAAAAATAGGGCTCCTCACAAGAAAAAAAAATCACGCAACATATCTTGCAACCTAGGATAGGATAGAAAGTAAAGAATAAATAATTTATTTTAAATTTCTAAAAAAGATTCTAAGCCGTTAAACATTTTCTTCCATATATAGGACTCAATATTGGTACAATCTAAGTTTTTACAAATATGCTACTTAGCTTCTTTACATCCCTCAGAATCTAAAATCACACATAGTTTTACAATAAAATATTAAACAACGTACTGTAGTAAGTTTTAAAAGAATTAATGAACTAATGTCAATAAGAAATAAACAATTCACGAATTATGGCAAAAAACATCAGTTCGTCCAAAATAGTTTTCAATTTTTTAAAGTAAAAATTTCTATTGTCTATCAGTAATGGTTGGCGGTAAAATCAAAAATAATAAAACTTAAATCTTACTTATCATTTTATCCAACCAGTGACATGGAACAATATTATTAATAATACCGTCCTATATGGCTATACGCCGGACTTAGTATATATTATTATTATAGTCTTTGATTACAAACCATAAAAACAATAATTATTATTCTATATACCTAAAGTTTTTATGTTGTAACATAGATAATAATATCTAAATGTTACTTTCTGGTTGGAAATGTTGGAAACTGTGATAACAAGATTTAATGATACGTCTATATTTTAGATTATCACGTAGGTCGTAAGAAAACCAAAAAAAAATTTTTATATGTATTTTTTTAATACTATTAAATTTTAATAATATGATATTATAATAAATATGGGCCCTCACATGTAGCTGTAGACTATGCAGTGGCATACCCTGCATACCCTGTGCGCACGCCTATGGTAGCATACATTAAATACTGCTGTGCATAAAATTATGTACGCTAGGCTAGGGGTTTGTGGTTCAACCCACTCCCAAATTTAAGTTAATTTAAGTTTAAATTATATATTTTTGTTAACATCATTAGATATTTTTTTTAAGTTCAAGAACTAAAATTGTTTTTTGTGATGAAAAAATTTAGAATGTAACATACGAGGTTCCTTAAAGTACTTATAGCGATTATGAAATATAAAAAATATGTAAACATAATTTTTTAATAAACGCTGAGATCAAATTTTTGAATTAACTTACTAAGGATAAGAAAATTTCAAATTATTTTGTAGTAAAAATTTTCCATTTTATTAGCTAAGACTTAAAAACTTATCAATATTCATCTTACTTCTTAGTTCTTACATTATTGAATATACATAGAACATTAATTTAGAATTATTTTTGAATTGTTCAAGTGTTGATTATTGCCTTATTGGTGTAAACTTAACAACGATTTCGAAAAATTGGCCATAACTTTTTAAGTGCCATCCAACTAATTATAAAAACGTTCTAACGCTATCCAACAAATGGCAAACAAAATTGTTGAATAGATATAATTTAATTCTGTTACATGCGTGCCGCTAAATTCATAAACATGAAATAAATATGTAATTCAATATTACAAATGTGTTGATAAGCATTGAACGTAAGTAGTTATAAATTCATATAGTTTATTTTTTTTTAACAAAATATTAAAATTACTGTCAGCTCCGAAAAATACTTATGCCCCTAAGCATTCAAGCATTGTATATGATATGTACTTAAATAAATTATTCAATGTATATATTAATCTATCAATATATATATATCATATATATTATTCCACTTTAAAAATAATATGTACTTCTTTTGCATTTATAACCACATGCCATATGGATGTTGTCCCATTTTGACTATGCCTTTGTCCGTATTTATAATATATTGTACGCTATTAATACTATACTTAAATTTTTACTTGTCTGTATATGGTATAAACGCGCATCATCATTATAAATGTATTGTAAGTGAAGTATAGGTAGTTACTGAAGAATACTTATGTTAACACATCACTCGTATATCAACCCTCAGTTATAATATTCTGGTCTTATAATTATTTGTTCCAGTAAAAATATAATAGGTATATCGTATTCACTGAACTACTGAATCATGTTGGACACTGGATATAGGTATAGTGCCGAAATCCGCGAGTTTTGTTTTTGTTTTAGAACACGGATTAATCAACTGCGGATACAACATAATAATGGATTATTCTTTTATAGTTTAATATAATATTATGTTCTCTTAATATGTCATCGCAGAATCACCTTATCAACTAAATATGTTAATAATACAGTTAATCGTTGTATATAGCATAGTGAGCGAGATCGACTGTATAAAAACCGATCGTATACTTTTCTGTTATCATGACTACCATAGTATCATATTATTATAATTTAAACCGTCACAATCCTATTTTCCATAACTATTAAAATTTACCACTGTCTTATAAATATAGACTATCTTATTTTTATTTTAACAAATTAAACTTAATTATTTGTACAATATTTTATTGTGCATACAATTATAAAAAGTTAGATTTAAGTAGCTCTGCAATTATGCTACCACTTCTTCAGTCATAATTAAAAATCATTATACTATTTAATAAATAAAAAACAACATAAATGTATTTACAATTATTTTGAAAGTGTTATTTGATTACTACTTCAAAATCAGCGAAACTACTTATAAATAGCAAGCTATATGCAAGAAAACTATTAATATAATGATCTATCATGACTCATGACAGTCATGAGTGATTGTAATTTGAGAACTGAAACGTGACGCGTGGACATTGTTAAGATAGTGGTGATCGCGATAATAATGATTAACGAAGGTAATTTTGAGTTATAGTTTGGATATTAGCTACTACGTCTAAAGTTTTGTTTTTTTTTATAACAGGAAATTATCAACGATTATTACGTGTCAACTGTCAACTGATCCTACATAATTAAATGCATTTAAGTTAGATTATTAGTGAAGCTTAATCCAACCAGGAAAAGCTGTTATTCATACTTCCCAATGTTTTTTCACTTTTGTCTGTTATTTTTATATCTGATTTTAAGTTTTGAAAGGAGCAATGCATGTATTGATTCAATGATGTGTGTATTTGGGTCTGTATGCTTAATATTTAGTCGATAAAATGCTCCAATTTTCCATTTTGAAGGTGGTTTTGGATAGAAAATTGAATCTAGCTTAGACTATAAAGAGGTCATAGGTAATTTGTGAAAATCACGAAAATTACAAAATATGTTCCATTGTAAAAAATAAAAATTTAATTTTTATTATTCAAGTTTGAAAATGTAATATTATATTTTTCATAAGTAGATCCCTGAAATTAAGAAATCCAAAAAATATACAAACAAAATTATTTTTTATAGACATTTGTAGAAGTTAAAATTTGAATAAAATTATGTATTTTAACGATTAATAACGACGTTAATTATTTTATTATAAATAACAAACATTATCTGTGGGGACTTAATGTTTTGTACTTAATATTATTATTATGTATTTTACTATACTTACGTGATGCGTTTTTTGATTTATTTTAAGATATCTATCTATACTATAAACCTATTTTTACTGTTTTACGGCATTTACAGAAAGATGTTATTAAATTTTGAGTTATAACTATTAGTTATTTAGTTGATTTAATGTATATTAAAAACTGATAATAATATATAATAAACGCAATATTTTTGGAAAAAGTTAAATTAACCCACCGTAGTACTAAAAGCAAAATTAATGATTTAAATAGTAGCTATGTTAAAAAAAAAGATATAACATTATAATAAAATAGACTTAACCAGTGGCATATTTATGGTGAAGGTGGTGTTGCGGGTTTCCAACCCCCCCCACCCATTAGCATATATTATAATATAGGGAAAATCTCAGAAAAAATCGTGGGGAATGTAGTCTTCAAAATTGCCAACTAAAATTATTTTGACTTTTTTTTTTTTTTGCTGACTTTCTGCCCCCCAACAAAAAAAAAAATTAAGTTTTTAAATACGCCACTGAACTTAACGATATAGACTGCTAATACTCAACAGACCATCTCCGCTCAGAACTGTTTTTCGTATATAGGTACAATGAAGTATCATTAAATTCATATTTAACACACTTATAACAGTGATCCACTCGACACCTAAATATGTACAACTACACTGCTCAGCAGAGCAGTATTCATTCGTTACCACATTTTTTTTAATTTGTTCATTATTTCCTTGCTCTTTTTTATCAATTATCCGTTGATTCAATAATTCAATAATTTGATCAAAGGATAGATAATTTCACATTTTAATTTATTTTGTTCACCGTTATAACTTATGTCTTATATGCCTTTATTGATTTTTGGTTCTTATCATTTCTGTGATAATCAGTTATCACTCGGATTTATTCGTCCCATATGATAAGGGTATCGTATATTGTTACCATAAAGTTGGTAAGCATGGTAGCTGCTTGAAGAATATAACAGCGGTCACGTTTCACTATTGATGCTCTTTGATGATGTTTACAGTGTGTGTTTTGTTGACAATTTTTTGTGATTATAACAATTGTTGATAAATGTAATATGTAACTGTTAAAAAAGAAAATATCGCTGTAGTTGTCTAAAACTTTCCCTCAACGATTTTGACGGATACTTCGCCGCCGTCCGATGGCGTCATCGCAAGACGCTTGGTACCTGTCGCTGTTGGGGCTGGCAGAAAACTTCCGAACGTCAAATCGCATCAAGATGTGCATCCAGTGCTTACAAGCAGTGTTCAGTTTCAAACCTCCGCCAAGGGTCGAGGCCCGGACCCATCTTCAGCTGGGCAACATACTTCTGCAGTACACGAAGAACACGGACCTGGCTCGGACGCACCTCGAACAAGCGGTAAATCCGCTGCCCATCGGACATCGTCCCCCCACCCCTCGAGTCGACGACATACTTTAATCTATTTTTGCCTTTCCATAGTGGTTGCTGTCGCAGTCCATCAACGCGTTCGACGACGTCAAATTTGAGGCAGCTAGTGTTGTGGCCGAACTCTATCAGCAACAGAATCAATCAAATCTAGCCAAGCCCATTTTAAGGAAAGCTGTCGAATTATCACAGCACAACATCTACTGGCACTGTAGACTTATATTTCAATTAGCCGTGAGTAAAAACGCTTACGGCTATCTCCACAAATATGTAACTTAATTGTTAAACATTTTTTTATTGTTCAATTTTGTTTTTTAGCAAATACATGCTGTAGAAAAAGATTACGAATTGGCCAGCAGCTTACTTGGCGTCGGTGTTGATTACGCTCACATATCATCAGCAGCTTATACCCGAGTACTTTTTCTGCTCAGTAGATGCATGGTATAATTTTTTTTTTTTTTACAACATTTCATTAAGAATTGATGATCTGATTTTTTTTAAATATTTATTGTTTTCTTCTTGTGACCAGTTACTGCTTATCGACAAAAAGATTACAGAAGTTTCTCCATTATTAACCCAAGCGGGATATTTAGTTGATAACTGGCAAGCCAGCCAATATCAAAAAGAATATCTAAAAGTTTTCTTTTTAGTTTTACAAGTAATGATTTTGATTTTATTAAACCACTTACATGTAAGTATTTTTCATATTTTTTAATCATTTTAAAGGTATGTCATTATTTAATGGCTGGACAAGTAAAAAGTGTCAAACCATGTTTAAAACAGTTACAACAAAGTATTCTGACAATCATGCAGCCTACTTGGCCCTCCGATGATGGTACTATTAACAATTTAAATAAATCCTTTTTTTTATTCTTAAATTATTTACTCATTTCTTTTAATCTATTTATTTTTAAATTAAGAATATTATAAATAAAATATATTATTATTTAAATATACTATAAAACAGATAAAGTCTTTCATTCAACTTATTTAAAAGATTATTTTATGTTAAAAAAATAAAACATTAATCAAATTTTATTATAAAAATAGTTTAAAAGTTGGTTATTTAATTAAATTTATATTATTTTATAAAACTACAAATTTTTACCCCATTAAAAAATATATTTAACAAGTTATTAATTGCATTTAATTTTTAAATTTAACATACTACATAATATATATCAGCATATTTTAATATTAATTTGTTAAATGTAGGTAATATATATTTCCTATTTTTAATAAATTCCAATTTTTTGAATTTATAATATCTGTAGATAATATAATATAATAAGCACCCAGTTATTTATTCCTTACTAAATTTACTTATCTAAAAAATAAAGTTTCAACGTCAGAATAGTTTTAAGAAAAAAAACACATTAACAAAATTAAAGAGAATAATATTGTTGAGGACCTCCCACTTAGCTAATTTTCTGTGTTCCAATTATAAAGCTCAATATTAGGTAAAGAAGTATTGATTTTTTTCAACATTTATCATTAATCGTAAAATTAAGTTTTTGAAAAAAGGCTATGTGAGAACCTTAATAACATTGTGATTTTTAATGTGGATAATTATTATTGTTATCCTAAAACCCTCCTGGAGTGATTTATTTGAAATCTAAGTTAGAGTGTTTTTAGTATAGAAAACTCCGGTAATATGTCCTCTAAGGCTTAGTACAATTATTTTTTTTTTAAAGCTATTTAATTTAGTTTCTTTGTTCTTTTAAGTAATTTTCTGTTCTCGTTGCGTTAAATTAGGTCAAGCTATATCAAACTGAAATAATTCTGGCATTCTTAAAAGTGAAATTCCAAATAAGATAACTTCAATCTTACTTTATACAATAAAAATATGAATGTTAGTTATTTTAAATAATAAAAAAAAAATTTTGTTGCAGTTGTTTGTGGATCTAACATGGGTGATATGTTCATATGGATGCCTAAAGAACAATTATATGTTGTAGTTTATCTAGTAACTGTAATGCATAGTATGCAGGCAGGGTACATGGATAAAGCACAAAAGTATACTGATAAAGCTTTGGCACAGATTGAAAAACTAAAAGGTAAGATATGAGTTAAAAAAAAAATAAAATATTATTCACTTATAACTATACTGCTTACATTCTTAATAGCTGGTGACAACAAAACGCCAATATTGTCAGTCTTCCAGTTAATGTTGCTTGAAAATATGGTTATGTGTCGACTAGTAACAGGAAATAAATCACAAGCATTACGTGAGATGTCGCAAGTGTGTAGTATTTGTCAAAGACATCCGCGGCTTTTAAACTCTCATCGTCCTCAACTTCATATGCTCATCGGTTTATATGCAATGAGTATGAATTGTATGGATGCTGCTGAAATGCAATTTACTACTTCATTAAGGGTAGGTGTACTCTTTAGTGCAACGATTAATACAATGCAATAACATAACTATTATCTTACATTTTAATTTTTACATATTTCATGTAAATAGTCAAATAAATTAAAATATCTGATACTCTTTCGCCTAACCTATTTTATTTTGATGATGCTGGAAATTAATTTTAAGATTATGAACAACAAATATGATTGATCATATCTATTCTCAATACAATATTGTTTTTAAATATTTAAGTATATATTTTATTTTATTGTCATTCCAAAATGTGGTCAAAAAATTAGTCAAAATTAATTTGACTTTCATTTAGTACTCAAGATTCAATACAATCTAATATCTATTAAACTATGTTATGAAATTACCTAATTAGCTTTTCATTGAATTAGTAGCTAGTGAATTTACTACACATATTTTTAATGTTATCATCATGGTAGTTTTTTGCTAATTCTTAAATTGTATCCAATTATAATAACTATTTTATTATTTTCTATATCTAAAGGTAATCCTATACAAACAAAAATTATTCGTTATTCATGAACCAACAAATCCCCGTGTAGCTTTTGTTAAAAATGCAAAATTCAGAATTTTAGCTTTGAGATGCACAACTTTGGATATAGGATTATCTATGTACCAAATTTCAAAATCATGAGTACGACAGACTTAACTGTTTTTTTTTTTTTTTATGAACATTAACATTTCCTCTAATTAATAAATTACCAAATGTATTGTAAGAATCAAATAAAATATGTTCTATGAATATTAATTGATAATATATTATAAATCTTATTTTACAGTTGTCACAAGAACGTGAATTGTGGACATTTGCAAACCTTAATTTAGCAATCGTATACTTAAGAGGCAAAAGAGATGTTGAACTAAATGCTCTTTTAGACCGTATAAACCCAGAAACTCTAACATCGCATTCACATAGTCTCAGAGCTGCTGCATACTATGTTCAAGGTTTACAATCATTTTTCCAAGCTCGTTATAATGAAGCAAAGTGAGTAAATCATTAAAACTAAATACAAAATCTTTCAAATATTATACTAAAAATAGTAATAGTCATTTAACATTTAATTTGAATTTAAGTTTTAAGTATGTATTGTTCATAATTAAATTTTTTAAATGAGATGCTTCTTTTTTTATTTTATTCAATTAGGTACAATCTGTACTTTTAATTCTTTGTTAATTAGAATCATTTTTAATTCCTTTTCATAAACTGAACAATAAATAATTTCTTTTAAATTTAAAATAAGAATAATATAATCTTGAATATCTTCGAGTTCAAACAAGTGCTCAATAAAAATATATATTTATGGTATACACTTTCTTAAATGATTAATGATAAATGTTAAACATACATTTAATATAAAGCAATTTCTCTAATTTTCTCTTTATTATTAATTTTTGTGCATTAAAATGTATTGATGCATATATATATATATATATATATATATATATATATGCATTATTAAAATATATTTATTATTAAATTATTTAATTTTGTTATTTAGGAGATATTTAAGAGAAACATTAAAAATGGCTAATGCAGAAGATTTAAATCGCCTGACAAGTTGTTCCTTAGTTTTGCTTGGCCATATATTTTTATCATTAGGTAATAGTAGAGAGAGTATGAATATGGTTACACCTGCTATGCAATTAGCAAGTAAAATTCCTGATGTCCATGTACAACTATGGGCTTCAGCTATTCTTAAAGGTATTTTATTATTAAAAATATTAATCTTTGAAAATTATAGTTATTTTTCTTATGAAGTAATTTGAGTATTTTCTAATTTTTTACAAATGTATTTAGATTTATATAGAATGTGCAATGATCCAGCTAGAGAAAACGAAGCACTTCAGATGCATTCAAACTTTTCACAAACATTACTTAAAGATCATTTTCAATCATCCGAAATGCCTGAACATGCCCTTATATCGTGGACAGATGGACAATTTCCAATTCAATTGAAACCATTTGTTTCACCACCTCAACAATCCCATCTTCATTTACAACAGCAACAACAACAACAACAACAACAACTACATATGCAACAACAGATGCACCTTCAACAACAAAGTTTACACATGCAACAACAACACATGCAATTGCAGTCTAAACAACAAAACCCTGCAGCTCTTGGACTCCCTTCTTAGCACCTGCCATATACCAATGCGATCAAAGCACATACATTGTGCCATCGACATGTCTTAAAAACTGTCATTATAAAGATATGTTAGTAAAATTTGTAATTATGCACACAAATGTTTTGTATTGTGTAAATAGCTTGAATGTGAAAAGCTTATTTAAATGCTCTTTTACGCTTTAAATTGTATTTTCAGTATATATAAACCATTAGTTTTATACATTTATAAATGTATTTTATTTTATTTTATTTATTTATTTAATTTTTTTTTTTTTGATCTATTAAATTAAAATGGTATACAGTAAGTGTGCACTGTACAGTATTCACTTTGAGTATATTGAATAGAAAACAATTTACTTCTTTCAAAATATTAACTCTAAAAGTTAAATGAGTAACAGTATTTTTGTTTGAAACCTATAATCCTTATATTACAAATAAAATCCAAGAAAGCCCATTCATCCTATCAGTAATTTTAAATATAATTTTTTTGTTTTGTGTAATTAGATTTTTTTTTAATGTATTTTAAGATTTTTAAAATAATTATTTGTATATATGTATGTCTTTTTTCCGGGTAAAAGTGATTTTTGTCAAATGAATTTATATTGAGACCTTAATGTTGACATAAGTGTATTATATCTTATTATATAAGTAATAGCTCAATTTTTGAGCTGAACTTTTAATAATCTTTCTTCCTGTAAATTAACAGGTTGATAATTCTCTTATTGATCACTGAGTAACAATGGCGATTAAATTATTAAAATGTCTGCTTACTATTACCATATATATATAATTTATAAATTTTAATACTTGTTATTATTATTTTTATATTTATTATTCATTTATTTTTTTTTATTTAATGAACGTGTGTACATATATTATTTATTATAAAGTCAATAAAGCTTTAAGTTCATACAATTTAAAATCTGATGTTTGTATCTATTTATGAATGTATAATATATATATATATATATATATATTATTTCACTTACAATTCTACTGAAATCAATAAAATATTCCAATGTATGCAAGAAGAGAGAATAAGAAATCAATTAATTAAAGATTAATAGTTAATACAATGTCAACGGTTCACGTGCCATGTACACTGATTTACAGTATATCTAACAGACTAATTAAGTGTATAACAAAATAATTGTTGTACACAAATGAACAGAACATTAAAACTCGCGGTTATTAATCTTTAGCTATCGTAAAAATTGTATAGGTATATCTTATTCGCTCGCTCACTCGAACTCGCCTAACAAGTGTCCATCATTGGATTTACAATTTAGGTACTTGCTATGGAAATCAATTGCAAAACGTTTAAATAGTTCATGTACGTACAATAATCACTCGTGTTCATTAAAAACGAGTTATAATAATGGTATATTACAATATGTATGTATCGCATTATGGTTAATGATGCATAGGTATGGTATTATATCGTACAGTATAGCATGGGTGTTATGCAGGGCTTGAATAGATAGTGTACCTAGCGGTTATGATACGTAAGTACTGCACAGATTGCTATATGTAGGTACAGTTTATTGTGCGGTTGTGCAATTATTTATTGCCCATCGGTGCGGATGGTAAGTATATCTGCGGTAAGTGTGCACAAATTGCACAATATAATACTGTACGTAGGTATCTACCCGCATTATATTAAATGTGGCGAGGCGAAAAATTACGAACAGTAAATTACACAGCGAGACCCGAACAGTTCTAATAGTCTTAAAATTTAAATATGTATAAAAAAAATTCCTATCTGGAGAAGTTACTCAGCTGTACAGTTACAACTGCAGTAGGTACCACTGAGTTGGTTCCTGCGTTACGGATGTGTTAAATTTAAATTCAAGGACAGACTGTTATCGCATACGAAAAACGGTTCAGAACGATGACAGCAAGTATTTTTAAGCGGTGTTTAATATTCTCATCAGTAATTTATTTTTATTTTATTAATACTACGGTACCTATGTCAAACAAATTTTTCACCATGACAAATGTCAAATGACATATTACTTAGATACGTATATAGGTGATATGATTATTATGATATTTTTCTAACTTCGTAATCAAAATACTGATGAACAGTAGAAGGGGTGAAAAGATTTGTTGACTGACGAAGCCTAAAATTAATTTAAATGCTTTGAAAAATTCTTGAATAAATATTCAGTGGAGGTGTAACATTTTCAATCCTAAAGTACCGTTGACTAAATCCAATTTATCACCAGAAACCGTTATCGTAGTTGAAGATTAAATCATTTTTTTTTTATTATAAACGTGTCTACCTATATGGCGCAAAATAATAAAAATAAATTGTATGATATAATGTATTCATTTTTTTTTATTTATTGTTCTATCAAGTCAAAAAAATGTATTCACAAAAGACCGATTTGGCGATCGGACTTATACCTACTTTATTTTGTCCTTATAGACAATAATGTCTTTATAAGCGGTTATTGTTATTGATTGGTACATAAAAATGGATAAAAAAAATATAAGCAAGTGTGCAATGCTCTTCTATACACTTCAATTGTCGAGTGAGTCACTGTTATGGATGTGTTAAATTTGAATTCAACGAAAAATCATTGTATCTGTACAAAAAATAATTCTGTGTGAAGACAGTTTGTCAGAGTGTCAGCTTTATCACTAAGTATGTTTTATGAAATAATAAAGTCATTTATTTTACTTTAAATATTACTTCAGTTGGTTGATATTATTTTTATCGAGAATATTGTATTATTGTATAATATATTATATTATTAATATTAAATAATTACTATTTAAAAATATATATTTATATTATACCAAAATGTATTAACTTATATAACTCAAGAGTAAATACTTAATAACATGTTTTTGTAATTGCCACATAATAGCAAAAGTATGTTCATAGTATAAATAGATAATATCTTAAAATAAACAAAAAATATCATTACGTACAATAAATTTCATCATAATATAGTTTTGTGAGCACACAAATGTTTTTAAATTATATTATATTTTTCCAAAATTGAACTTAAAATGTGATAAAAAATAATTTCCTCAGTTAATTATTTAGATTTTATTGACTATGATTTCAATATGAACTACTTATAAAGAATCTTAGACACAAAAAGAAAAGTTTTTATGAATTTTTAACAACAAAATAGCTTACAAATTTTTACCATTTTGGCAAATTTTTACTTCAAATGCATAAAAAAAAAAAAAAAATTATGCCTTTATATTTTTAATATTTTTATACAGCTATAAAAATAACTTTTGTGGCATAATATATTAATTTTTCAAAAATGTTAAACCTGTGAATAATTTTTATTGATATTTATTGAAAAAAAAATTTAAAAATGTTTCATGCCTATAAATAATTCAAAAAAAGTTAAGAAACTTTGAAAATTTGATCATATAATTAAAATAATAATATAAATATTTGGTGACATTTTCAAGTATATATTGTTATATATTCTTTTCTTTTTTTCATTTTTGAAATTCAAGAAAAAATCAAAAATTGTTGGAGGAAAATATTATTTTACAGGCAAATATCGAATGTTGTGAATATTTGAATTTGAAATGCTCATAAAAATTAACTAGACTTTCCAGTAAATTTTTTTTCATAAATTTACTAAGGAACTAATAAAGAACCTTTGTAATTAACTATTAAACTTTTAAATTTTAAGTATAAATACAAACATTTTTAGGAATTTAAATATATTGTTCAACATTTTAAAAATTAGGCCCATCGAGTAGTTTTTCATCAACATTTATAGAAAAAAACGAAGAAAGTCAACAATTTCTAATGTCTTTAAATTAATTCAAATTATAAATATTATATTATATACATCTCTTAATTCTTATTTAATACAAAAAACCAGAATTTTAGTACTTTATAATAAAGGAAATCTGAAACCTGAAGTAGGTGGGTATTTCGATATAAATATGGTATCTATATTAAATACGTAAATAGTATATATTCAATACACACTTGAAGAATAAATTATAATTTAAACTCATAAAAATCATCTTACGTACGTAAAATTTACTCGAATGAATTCAAGGTTACTAACATAAACAAAATATATATGATTAAAAAAGTGTAGAATTATGCATTTAGTACCTACTTACTTCTGTAAAATATTGTATTAATTTAAATTATTATTTTAATAACAAAATGTTATTCAAAACAATATTATGTTATTAATTATAAAATAAAATAGGTGTGTTAAGCTACAGATAGTATTTTAATTATTGTTGCGTAATATTTATTTAAATGAGTATAAAACAAGAATAATATTTTATAGATATCTTTATGATATAAAAATTTAAAAAATATAATTAATGGGTTTTAAAAATAGTTGAAGTCGGTTAAATAAATATCAAGTTTTAAAACCAAATAATTGAATCTTAATGACTTCGCAATGGGTATTAGCCATATTCCATACAAAGTTTTGAGTTAAAGCCAATTAAATATTTTGTGTAAATATTTAAAAAAAAATACATATAAATGCATTTGTTTTCTAGAACTATAAATAAAAAAAAAAAAAATACCTCGCTGTTAATTAATCCTAGAATAGTAATTATATTTTTTATAGTACTATAGAGTATAGACTATTGATTATAAATAGTAATATTAATAATCAGTGATATTGGGAATACCTTTTTTACCTAATACAGTAATACAACAATATACGATATCGAGAAGCATTAAGTACATAGAATACTTGAATTGATTCAATAATGTATAATTTTTTATGTCGAATAATGAATCATTGATAATGCTTATAAGTTATAATGAACTGAATCTATAAATCTCTAAGTCATTATTAGGTACTTAATTTGACCAATTCTTAGCACTTTCCAAACAGAAAATAATAAATGAATGTATAAATATTAGGTAAGTAGGTATAGTTATACTTATCTACCTATATAAATATATAATATGTATAACTTGTTACACCTAAGTAGTCAGTTAAGATATATAAGAAACTAGAAAGTTGTGAAATTTTGTGAACATAACATTGCAATACAATAAAATACAATTACTCATATATTTAAGTTTAAGCATGGGTAATATATCTAATATGGGGTAGGGCTTTATGACATGAGCGCCAAAGGTACAATAATGACATATAATTTACATCTTTATATGAAAAGAGCGCAAAAGATATAAAAAAAATATTTATTAATATTAATATTTTATGTAAGTATTTAAAAATATTTAAGATAGTCAATAATCAATATAA